GTTTCTGGACATCATTCATTCTGGCCAGAAATTGCAGGCTTGGACAAGAGAGTTAGCCATTATTAATTAATGGGAAATAGGCAAAAATATTATACTTTTTATACCCATAAATAATATTTCTTTTCTTGTATGTTTTGAAGATATACTGATAGAACAGCTTGCAGATGATCTTGGATTCAGTTGTTCCCTCCCCCTAATGAACAAATATATAGTCAAGAGTACCAAATCAAATAATGGTTGTGGGTCCATTTCCATATTATAGGGATGCATTTGTTGTTCCTATCCGTAATAATTTAATCATTTCATCAAATTATTGTCGACCTTAAATACGAAGGCATAACGTATTGTGAGTGTTATAATCTTTGTATTATCATAAGGAATTTTTATGTTATGTCATAAGGGACTTAGAGAAACTTCATAGATTGGTACAATTGCCCAATAGGCTAGCAAAATGTATATGAAATAGGGTAGCAAGATGTATATGAATAGTTTGTGTAACTTGGTCTTGGTGTGCTAGGTGTTCTGCTACAAAATAAATGAAACTTTTTAATGAAAATCTAGTGTCAAAGAAACACTGTGACATAGATGTGGGTTGAGTGTGTGTACATAGTCGGCCTATCGGCTTGACTAGAGTGCAACCAATGTTCAATGTCTGAATGACTACTCTCCCAAACCGCATCCCCAACATTTTTTGTTATCATAAAAAAATTTACCAACTCGACTCTGGTTATGATTCCACCTCCAAACTTCACAATGTTAACGAATTGATCTCTTTCATGTGTAACAATACCGCCTACAAAAATCGTATTTTGAGGCTGGTATTCAAGGAACCATCTATCTTGAATTATTGAGATACCAATTATTTTGTTTCCCTCCCTCTAATGGATCTTCAGTATCCAGAATGTTGGGAGATGGAGTGGATGGATTGCAATTTGTGCATATATTACAATTATATGAAGAATTCAATGAGTATGATCATTATGATCATCATATGAGGGCCCTCTAAGTATGTAAATTGTAATGCATAATACATTTTCTCTATGAGCTTAAAATCTTAGTAATATTGGAACTAATTGATCAAAAATTCCAATCATGTATAATTAACTTATATAAAATGCAAGAAAATATGAGGGAAAAAAGGGAATTCTGAATTGACCATGAATGGTACCATGCATTCATTCGTGTCCTGTTTTTCCCTTATCTTACTCAACCACCAGCTATTCATATCCACACTTATGGATAATGTATTTTTCCCTCTCAATGAAGATCAAATGGAGAGGGGGAAAAAAAACAATGCACTTAGCTAGATTCTAGAGAACATCAAATGAAGAGATATCCCATCAAAATTGAATACCGATTGTCTTTGTTAGCACATTTGAGAGGGGAGAAATTAAAAGCAGAAAACTATATAACAAGACAGATGTATTAATGAAGGGTGGACCATAATTTGTACCACAACACAATCCTGCCCATATCATATGTACTATGGAAAATTGGAAAAGACAGCATCTTAATTATTAGAAAAGATGGAAAACAAAACGAAAATGACAAAAAAAAAACCAAGACGAGACTTCTTTAACATTAATTACGTGTTGTCGATATTCAAGGTTCATGGTTGGAGTTTGTTATAAGTTAGCGTTCTGATAGATACTACTCAAAAGATTCAAACATGAGACCTTCATATTCAAAACTAGTGGTTTTTACCACGAGACCAAACCATTATTCGTCAACATTAATATCAATAAAATTGGATTGAGACTGAACCCTTGTTGTGCATTAAGGAACAAATTATGGGTCAACCAACAAGTTGTGGCTCGGTTAAACCCTTCCTCAGATCATGATCGATCAGTTGAGTCAAGCAAGAACTAGAAAAGTTAGATAATCAATTCCCTCACGTCACTTTCCAAACCTAACTAACTAAACTATACATTCATCCAAAAGTGCTTGTAACTATGACCATTCATGGAAATGATTTGGTTGGCCGGCGGTCGAATTTTCCCGGTTTCACATTCTTGACCATACCCGACTTGGGAACTAAGTTAATAAACATATAAAGTCTCAATTAAGGTGGTCCCACTAATTAGTACTATAATCTCCAATTCTCCATTATTAATCTCCTCTTTTTTCCCTTTTACTTAGCACAAGTTGCATGCATGATTCCTCTTTGGGCAGTTACTTGGGAAGATTCATCCACTAAAGATAAAAGTAGTAAAAGTCATGGCTATCTCCTTATTATTATGGTCGTTAGTCCGATGATTTGAATACTTTTCAAATGGTTTTGTAGGACTGAAAGAGGAATTTCTCTTGTTTGTGGTCAAGGAGGAATAATATATAGAATACAAAAGTAAAATAAAATGGACATGTAACGTAATTACAAGTACACGACTTTTTATTAAAGTAGAGGATCCTCTACTTTACACCATGGTCCATGAAATCGTATCGTACCGGTGGTTCAACCACAAAATACCAGTATCGGAGGCTAAACCGGTAGGCGGTATTTAACGGTATGAACGGTTGAACTACGGTTAAACCACGATTTTGTCATAAAATACCCTACCGGTGACTTTTCCGGTACGGTTTCATGGACCATGCTTTACACCAATTGGTCACGATGAGTTCGATTCGTATAGAGGCTACAATAATCATTCCTTTGATCTGGCTCATTTGGTGTGATAAGCACAAATTAACTACATGTATAATGTCGATGATTAATAGTTGGAATTAGAAAAGGAGGATTTTATGGTTATGATACAATATCTCGGTTGGGTCAATTGGTTAGACTAGTGTTGTTTATTCTTATGAATTATTATTGTGTTAATATGGCTCTGGTGTAGGTTTGGCCGCCAAGTTTGGCTAGCCGAGTAGATTAGGGTGTTTGATCATTGTTAATTTGTTAAAGAGTGTTGGGATTAGTCGGCTAGGGTTTAGTAGTTGGCCTATATACTTGTAGTTTTTGTCTTTCCGTTAATCATCGCCAATGAGCAATAAACCAAAACAAACTCTAAATAACGTTTCACACTTGAAGCAATAACTTCTTTTCACAAATTAAATTGCAAAGGTTTTGGGAAAGTTTTCATAATGGACGGATATATTTGCTCTAATAATGACAGCAAAGGGAATGGGCCAGTGAACATGAACAGGTAACGTAATTTGTTGGTCTTTCTAACGATCCTAGGCAATATATAGCTAGGCGTCTACGGTCTACTTGCATATAAATAAATTTGAACGTGGAAGGCATTAATTATGCACCTAAACTACACACGTAATGTGTCCGCGTGTGACTGATTGAGACGCAATATACGTAATGGTAATTTGGTAAATGGCTATAATTATAACTAGATTAAATCGGTTAATGCATTCCCACCACCACTAATCAAACTAAAGTGTACGTGGAATTGAGCATGTCATGCAAGTTATCACAGTACTTGTTCTAGTTGTTCGTTTAATTTTTAGAGCAAACCGATCTATGTGGTGTTTCTGAAATATCAGAACTAATCCACGAAAGAACTTGAACTCTTCAAACTACATATCTTATTCACTGAATTGTTACCAGCTATAGCAACACAGAGTCATAATTTTCTCGCGAACTAGCAAGCCCCTATATATTTCGGAGGAAACCATGTAAATTATATGTGCTTTTTTTTTTCCGCTCGTCACCTCATATTTTATTTTATTTTCGTCCAAATCATCAGCGCACACACATCCAAAATTATATACCAACTAAACTAGACCGATATGATTCAAATATGCGACATCAGCTATATCTTTGAAGATTGGATCTAATAATTACTGGTTAACTCAATCTTTCAATTAAAAAACGAGTGTAAGAGGAGACACGTGATTGAGTCATAAAACCTAAAACTATAATCAAGATTGTGAGTTTGATTTTATGTATTTCAACGATAATGAGATGATATACTTTTTTACTTATATTAGTTTGAATCATATCGGTGATTACGATCATCGGCCAAATTCTCCACAGCTAGCGTCGTAGAATAAAGGTTGATGTCGTCTGCATGAAACTGTTGTGATTAGCGACTGCCATTTTTATATAAACCATTATTATAGAAGTTAGAAGGCTGAAGAACAAATAGATATAGATATGAAATATGATAAGAGAACCACGTTATTCCACATGTGATCATATATAAAGAACTTATAAGCTATAACATATGCAATGACGCATACCGTTGAAACAAAATACTTCCTGTCATATTAAAATGTCTTAACCCCTTTTTTTTAAGTTGGGTAGTTAACCGGATCAGAATGATAAGATACGGCAGAAATATGTGCACCAATTATGTTATATGTATCACAAGAGACGAAGAGGAGGAAAGACTAGTATGCAACTACGAATAAGACCATTAGTATAGCTTTCCTTTTTCTTCTTCGAGTTTGCCTTAGCTTTTCATGAGTTGGGAGAACTTGCTGCACTTTAAACTCTAGTGTTAAGGTTCTGTCTTTCTGCATATGATATGATCCGAATAAATATAATCCAACGAAGAAATTCGTGGTTATCACTATACATCTCATCATGAGTGTAGACATACAAGATTTGTAGACTTCATCGTTTTAGGATCGAATTATTTTGAAAAGAAGTTCATCCAGTTGGTGAGGTTGAACAAATATGAAAAAAAATATAATTCATGCAACTCAAAAGTACAATCTTACACAATATTTTTTTTTTATAGGAATCACTAAAGATGTGTGATTTAGCAAGGGTACTAGTGAAAAAAATAGCTTTGGCAAAGAGTAGATACCATAACGGGCCGCCACATGACAGAAAGACGAACTCTAAACCAACAGAGGACGGCAGCTAGGCCCATTCTGTGCTCTAGTGGGCTTTGAGTTTCGGCCTTGGGCCCACTTGCAGCTTTCGAACTATTTCGAAGGAACTTCTCCTCCCATTTCTTTATTTTATTATTTTCCATGTGCCCCGACCGGTAAACATCGGGGCTCCGACGGAAGCGAGAATCGGGTCCTATAAATCAACCAGGCGCCCACAATTGTATTTCCTTTAGCCCTAGCGCGAAACAGCCAGTCCCTTCCATTCCATCGACACAATTTTTGCGGTTTATTCAAAGCTCGCCTTCTTCTCCGTCCGAATCTCCGCGTTTCTGCTCTCCTGCTTAGTCTCCGCCTCCGTTGCCTGCATTCTGAGGTAAGTTCGAAGCAATTGACTTTCTACTGAGAGGCTTGTATGGATTGGGGCGGACTCTCGTAGCGTTTCTGCTGCCTTCGTTTCTTATTTCTGAGCTGATGTGCCTTGTACCGGTCGACTTTCACTGTACACCTCAGTGGCAGAAAGTTGTTCAATGTGGGATAGAGACTGGTGTATGATGCAGTGTTAGCTAGGTTATGCTGTCAAAGAGAGCTGAAATGGAGATTAGGGTTTGCCTGTGTAGTGAATTTTTTTTTTGTTTGAAACTGGAATTCAGTGAATATTTGGTTATTTAGGTTGCTTCGGCAAAATTAAAGCTGAAGAGTAGAAGTTATCAACCTACAGTAGTATTTCTATTTCATGGGCTTCCTATTGTCGACGAATTGTGGTTCACACAGTAAGTTGAGGTATATTATGTACAGGAGTAGGCAATCGTAAGGTTCTAGTAATTCCTTGCTGATTCTATTTCGTTCTTCATCTCACATGCAATTGCCTTTTCAACAAGCTTTCCTGACTGTTGTTAATTCGGTATTGTTTGAGTTTCAGAATCTCAAGCTGTTGTTAATGACTTGGCGAATTGTGTGTTCTGTTGCTTTATAGTTGTTGACGGTTCATGTGCGAGGTCTCCTGCTGAATTGGGGAGTTAAAGAAAATGGACTTTGATGAGTATGACTACTTGGAGAAGACTGTTGAAAACCCTGAGCCTGAAATGGTGAAGGAAACTGCTAACGGAAGTGAGACAGTCAAATCTGGAGAGAAGGATCGTAGTCGGGGTTCGAAGCACAAAAGTGACGAGAGGGAGGATGGTGATGATGATGAAAACCATCGCTCAAAGCGATCAAAATCAAGAGATGATACACGCGACAATGATCGTCACAGAGAAAGAGGTTCGTCCCAACACCGGTCTGGATCTAGAGATAGAGAGAAGGACCGCCACCGGAGTAGCCGTGAAAGCAGAGATAAGGAGAAAGGCAGGGATAGGGAGGAACGCAATGGGAAGGATAGAGACCGAGAACGTGAGAGGGATCGAGATCGTGACAGGAAGGAACGTGACAGGGAGAGGGAGAAAGAGAGTGAAAAGGAGCGATCGCATCGAAGTGGGAGTCGATCAGAAAGAGAGAAGAGTAAGGAAAGGGAGCGAGGTGATTTTAAAGAACGTGAAAGAGAACCTAGGTAACTTTTGTTTTATGTTCTTGACACATACTTAATGATTTTCTTCTTGGCATTGGATTCTCCATTATAAAGTTATACTACATTATATTCATATTCACTGGTTTGTGAGTAAGTGCACCTACCCCCTTCGTTTCTAGGCCTGCTACCTTAGTTGTGAACTTATCAGTCCCTTGGGGTTTCCCCAGGCAAGCTGTTAGTCAGTGGGGTGCCTTTTAGAATAGAAATATCTGCATTGGGCAACTTGATTTTGCACATTATTAGTTATCATCGTTGAAGTTTAAATTAACAACATTTCTGTAGTTTTATGAGAATTAGAACCAACATCTCCCTAGCATATGCCCTTTAGTATTTTTTGAATTGCCTCATTACCTTCTGATTATGGCTACAGCCCTCTGTGTGTACAAACCATGGGACCTGCGCCTATTTCTTGGCCCAGCTAGATGATATATTGATGGGATCATGGTCCGTGTCAGGGTTTTGTTTCTTTGTCTTAGGTGTTCTGGGTAATATGTTTGTCTCTACATCCCATTATATAAAACAACTACGTTTGTCTCTACATCTCTCACTAGCAACTCTCCTGTTTCTTGTGCTCTAAAGTGCTATGAAAATTCTGAATATTGAACACTAGATTCTGGGAATCGCAGATATGCTAGAGCACTTCAGATGGTCTTCTTGGCAATTGGGCTAGGCACAGGAAGTCAGGGCATGGGTTTTAAATGTCTCTCCTAGACTGTCTCGAAAGATAAATAAGCTTGTTTTGCAAGAGTGAGAGTTATTGGATGTTTCTACCAGGGTGATGATGCCATGTAATGTTTTCCATTATCATCCTTGTGGAAACTGAGATGCTTAATTACATTTCTTCTGTTGCAGAAATGCTGGTGAGGGAGTGATGGGCTTTGCTTAAGGCAAACAATTCATCTTCTGATGCTTGTGGAAATTCAGTGTTGACTGGGCTGCAAAAATGGCCTAAAATTGTCATGTGCAATATAGATAACATAGAAAGAATCAAGCTTTTAGAATTTTGTTGTTATAGGCTGTAGATGCCCAACAGTCTTGCATGTGTCTGTTCCCTTCTCATGGTTTTGTGCTGCTGGATGCACCTTGCACTCTCTCTGGTCTCATCTTTTTTCTGTCATCATTTATTCGGTTGCTAATCCCCTTTAAAACTTGATAATCCATTTAAATGCATGGAAATGTTTTCAATTATCTTCGTGCTGGTGGTGTCGAGAGTCTTAGATTTCATTTTTTTATTTCCTTTTTACAGTTGTGTTTGATCTCAATTTAATGCACACAGGATTTGTGTTCGAACTGTTAGTTTTGTTTACTACCCTCTTTGTTCCTATCCAGACAGTATTGAGGTGCTTTTTTCTGTTAATGTCATATCTCTACTACTTTGGATACAAGTTATTAACAGTTTTCAAACCAATGCAATTAGGTCCTTTCGTATGACAATTTGCCATTGATACAACTTGATGGTGCTCTGTCCCTATAAGATTATGTTATTATAGAAGGTACAAATTTATTTATCCATCACTAGACGTTGCACTTTGTAATGACTGCTTGACCCAAGATTACCGATTCGTTTCCAGGTGGTTGTCACTAGATTGTCAAGGGGCATATCTGGTAGCAATTGCCAGTTCAGTCATGTTTTCTTCTCTCCATCTGCTATCATCTCTTGGAATTGACATTTGATGCAGTGAATAATTCTTCACCCGTGTCCATTTACCAGCTGTTTCCTCAGTAACAAAAATGAGATTTGGGGTCACAATTTGCTGGCTGTTGGTTTATTTTGCTAACAACCTGGTACCTTTGTTGATGTTTGTGCCTAACCTGTTAACATATTTTTCTTGCAGAAGGAAGAAGGAGGATGGTACTGAGCCGGAGGCTGACCCTGAGCGGGATCAGAGGACTGTATTTGCTTATCAGGTGAAAGTTTTGTTCTCCTCTTAGTTATTTTATTCCATTATTACTCTCTTTTCTATTATTCTTTATTGTTCCCTTTCTGCTCTGAGCTTAATGTTTGCATCACTATTTTTTTGGCAGATATGTTTAAAGGCTGATGAAAGAGATGTCTATGAGTTCTTTTCAAGGGCTGGAAAGGTTAGTGTTGGTACCTCAGCTTTTCTTTTCAAGCCGTTGATCTCCATTTGCTTTTAGAAGTTACATTTTGCATTCTGCCTTTTCAATCATGCTGACTGCCTGTGCAGGTACGAGATGTTCGACTCATCATGGATCGGAATTCAAGGCGGTCTAAGGGAGTCGGGTAATTCTCATTGATTTGCTGTTTAATCTTCTCTCCATCGATCTTTTTTGGATTTGGAATTCCTAATCTTTCTCCTCCTTTCAGGTACATTGAATTCTATGATGTGATGTCAGTTCCTATGGCAATTGCACTGTCCGGCCAGCCTCTTCGTGGCGTACCTGTGATGGTGAAGCCCTCTGAAGCTGAAAAGAATCTTGTTCAGTCGACCACAGCTGCTGTTGTCGGACCAGGTGGAGGGATAGGTCCTTATTCAGGAGGGGCTAGAAGGTTATATGTTGGCAACCTTCACTTCAACATAACAGAAGATCAACTTCGTCAGGTTAAGGCTTGCTTCTGTTGGTGTGCATTAATATTTCTTCTTCTTTGATAGTCTACATATTTAGAATTGCGGGATCAGTTGCTGCTCTTTTTGGAGTTCGAATGTTATATTATTAAGTGGAAGTTCTCATTTGGGTATCTAAGTATTAGATGTCGAGCATATGTTGCTTTTTGCTCCTGTGTTGTGGGTATCTATTTCCACTTTTAATCCCATTTCTTTGCTTTTTTCAGGTTTTTGAACCATTTGGTGCTGTAGAGTTGGTTCAACTGCCTGTTGATGAAACTGGACATTGCAAAGGCTTTGGTTTTGTTCAGGTGACTATACAAGACTTGTGTAATTTGATTGAGACATAGCAATAAAAAGCCATTCCATAAACATTCAATATATTTAGTATTAAATGAGAAGATGAAACCTACCTGCTATTTTTGAGGAGGTTGTTTACTTCCTATGGAGAAGCCATAGGGTAAGAAACTGATTTGGTTCACAGTCCATGCTAATTATTTTTATGCAACTCTCAGTTTGCACGTCTTGAAGATGCTAGAAATGCCCTTAATTTGAACGGACAAGTGGAGATTGCTGGTCGGCCTATAAAGGTTCGATTTCTCTAGTTCTCTCTCTTTCCGTAATGGCTGTTGATGTCTGTGATTCTCTTATAACTGTTTTTTTTTTGTCGTGTTTTACCCTGCTTTTATTCTCAGGTGTCATCTGTCACTGATCAAACTGGTCAAGAGGGTGGGACGAATGCTGCTGATTTTGATGATGATGAAGGCGGTGGTTTGGTTAGTAATCCTTTGTCTCAAACAGAATATCGGTTGTGTTGGTCCAATGCCCTTTATTTATTTAGTTCAGAAACATATCTGAAAATAAATGCTGCTTTTATTTTTTCAGGCACTAAATGCACGTTCTCGTGCAATGTTGATGCAAAAGTTAGATCGCAGTGGCACTGCTGCAAGGTTTGTATTCAGTTGATCTCTCTATTTATTTTCTTTCTGGTTGTGGATTGTGTTGCTGACATGGCTTTCTATGTATTACAGCATTGGTGGGAATCCGGCCATTGGTACTGGGATGACATTACCTGCTGCACCCGCATTGGGGCCTGGTGTGGTCCCTCAGACTGTTGCATCTCTTCTACCAAATGGGCTACCTGGTGCGGGTCTACAAATCCCTGGTGCTGTGATTCCTACAATTGATACGATTGGTGTTCCGAGTGAATGTTTATTACTGAAGAATATGTTTGATCCCCAATCAGAGGTTAGTTTTCTCTGATTGTTTCTGGAAGAGTGTCATAATCTTTTGCTGGTTTCATATTGAATCAATATTATCGATTAATGGGTTTCTTAAACTTTGCAGACGGAACCAGACTTTGATTTAGATATCAAAGAAGATGTTCAAGAGGAATGCTCGAAGTTTGGAACCTTGAAGCACATCTTTGTGGACAAGTGAGTTAGAACATTTTCAACCTGTGGTGCTAAGATTGGAAATTTATTTCAACAACAGTAATTTTAAGGACATCTGGGATTCGTGTATCAAGGAATCTGTATTTTTTTTGACAAACAGGAATACCATGGGATTCGTGTATCTACGATTTGATAACACGCAGGCTGCAATGAATGCACAGCACGCACTCCATGGAAGGTGGTTTGCTGGGAAGATGATCACTGCAACATACATGGTGTGCATATAAAAGATCCATCCCCTTTGCCCCGTTTCCCTTTTTTCTTCGCCTAACTTAGTTTCCTGATCCATCCGTTGTAAATGCAGGTGCCTCAGATGTACCAACAGAAGTTCCCTGACAGCAACAGTTAGGATGATGGATCTTAGTCTAGATTGTGGAACACCAGCAGATAGCTTGAAGCTCATGGGTTCAATCTTAATGGTAACTGACCGACAGAACCCGGCAATGATATATGCCCCAATATGGGAGTGAATGCAGGATGGGTTGCTTAGTGTTCTGTTTTTGAGTTTTGGGGGAGGGTTGATGGTTTTCGGATTTATTATAGGAAATTGCTGCATAGTGAGATGATATGAAGCAATAGCTGTCCTACTGCAACCAATGATTGTTTTATGTTGTAGGATTTGTTGTGTATTTGAGTTACTATAATCCATCATGTGTAATTTATATGTTTGGGTATATTTTTGACACTGTCAGGTCCTAAAAATCTAAACCAATCTCATGAGTTGCGAACTTCCGTTTTGTAATGTAAACAACGATTATTACAAAACCAAATCATCTTTCTCTTCTGCGAATTTGTCTTCTCTCTATTGCCAAAGTTTCATTCAATGCTTTTGTACATTAAATAATAGTAATATATTTCCTGTTTTGTGTATGCATGCATTTACATTGTTCCTGACAAGGATCTTTGTGGATAATTATTGGACCTTCGATGATGCAAGTCAGTAGCGCAGCTAGTTTGTCCCTGCCTTTTATGACTGTCGAGCAGATTTCGCCATACGAGAACTTTGGTTGTCCAATATTTGTGAAATCGTATCATATGTATGAGAACTGAGAAGGCCAACTGTGTTGGTGAAAACTCGGTGTAGTTACACAAAAGACCGTGTGTTTAACACCAGCTCCACGCACTGCAATTCGCACCATTGCCGGTTCGATTTACACAATTTTGGCTTTTATCATTAGCATAGTGGCTTGTGTAACCCATGCTGCCACTGTCGTCACAGCTTCGATCACCATTGTCTCATCAAATTCATGTTCCTACATTTTGTTTTTGTCGAAAAGGAAGCATAGAGGGAAACCCACATGAGCCCTCAGCCCCTCACTCTGCCTTGTATTTATACTCCGTGCAGGCCAAGAATTCATCATCTCACTCCCAAGACTAACCCATTCACAGTCCCATTTCCTGCTCACTCAACAGTTCAAGTTAGTACCTTTATTGCTTGCTTTTATCAATGGCGGCAGTTTCTCAACAAGAAGAGGTAGTTATAGTTGGAGCCGGTATAGCCGGACTAGCCACATCCTTAGCTCTTCACAGGTACCCCCAACCGCAAGCTTCATCTCGACTTCGTTTCAAATTGAATCTTTAAGCAGAAGTAAGGACTTCAAACTTGTATCTTCGCAGGGTCGGAATCAAAAGCTTGGTCTTGGAATCAGCATCGAGCTTGAGGGCTACCGGGTTTGCTCTGTCGACATGGGACAACGCTTGGAGAGCTCTGGACGCGCTTGGGCTGGGCGAAGCTCTTCGCCAGCAACACCAGCTGCTTGATGGGTAAACCCCTGTAGAAAATGGTTGTCAGTTTTTTAGAGTTGTTTCACAAGTAGTGTTGAATTTGACAAGAATGCTGTTCGACGAATTACCACAGGGTGGTGGCTTATTCCACAGTTACAGGACGCAGCAGTGCGGAGATACCTTTCTCGGGACACGAAATTCGGTGCGTGCAGAGGAAGCTACTGCTTGAAGCCATGGATAAGGCCCTTCCTGATGGTACTATCAGGTACTCATCCAATGTGGTATCCGTGGAGGATTCGGATTCCGAATCAGGCTGCTTGTTCAAGCTTCTGCATCTTTCTGATGGTGCTGTGATCAAAACCAAGGTAATCAAGAAATCAAGAGATGAAATAAATGATTGTCCGCTTTGTTTATGAGAATCAATCCACAAACTTACCTCTGGAACTGAACTGAACTACTCTTTTTCCCCTGTCAATTGAAGGTGTTGATCGGGTGCGATGGAGTGAATTCCAGGGTGGCAAAGTGGCTAGGATTCAAGGAGGCAGCATTCGCGGGAAGAACAGGAGTTAGAGGTATTGCAACATATCCAGAAGGGCATGATTTCAGCTCTAAGTTCCGCATGTTTGTTGGGAAAGGCTTCCGTGCTGGTTGTATCCCTTGTGATGACAAAACCATGTACTGGTTCTTCACTTGGACACCCACAGCACAAGGTAAATGACGAAACGTTACAGCTATAAAAGCGGCTAATACCATATCAAGAACTAGTTTGTCCTGGTAACTCAAGAAAAGTCCCGAAAGTTCAATCTTATATCGTTCTCTTTTGCGACTTGCAGAGAAGGATCTCCATGATAACCCTGCTAAGATGAAGGAATTCATACTAACCAAACTCCAGAATGCACCTGGTGTAAAGGAAGTTGTGCAGAAGACTGAGGTAGACAGAATCCTATCATCCCCTTTACGCTTCAGGCGGCCATGGCAGATTCTGATGGGGAACATAAGCAGAGGCAATGCTTGTATTGCTGGGGATGCACTGCATCCCATGACTCCTGATCTTGGCCAAGGTGGCTGCTCCGCCTTGGAAGATGGTGTGATTCTTGGCAGGTGCCTTGCTGAAGCCCTGAAGAAAGATACTGCTGGCTTGGGAAGCAAGGAAGAGTACCAAAGCATTGTGGCTGGGTTAAAGAAGTATGCCAAAGAGAGGAGATGGAGGAGCTTTGATCTCATCACCACTTCTTATCTTGTGGGTTTTGTGCAGCAAAGTGAAGGAAAGATTGGAACTTTTGTTAGAGATCATGTGTTGGCTAAGTTCTTATCTGGGTTGTTGCTGAAGAGAGCTGAGTTTGACTGTGGGAAGCTCATCAGCAAGTAGCAAGTCTTATTCCACATAGTATTTCCCCAACTTTTCATAATGCTTAAGAGTTTGTTGTTTTCTTTTTGGTTTTGGGGTTTCTTTTTGGTTATTTCGATATTGATGCTTTGTGTATTTAGCGTTTTATGGCAAGATGTTTTAAGATGATGTTATTTCATACGAGAATGTAACATGTTTTCTTAGTGGAAAATAATGTTTTAAGTATGATCCACATATATCATAGGCGTTTCGTGTGTTTCCTTTAAGAAATGGTAACATGATAACTTAATCTTTGGAGTATAATTCCAAAAAGAAAAGTAACAAATTCGTATTCAATACAATATCAAAATAGGTCATCGATTCGTATAATATCAAATTATTCAACGAGTCTGTCTCATTCAGAAAATGAGCATTTGAAAGATTATGACTAGCACTGATGAATTTGTGTATGATGATTTTATTGATGGAAAGCTTTATCTGTTACATAGGGTTCCTAATCTATTTATACAAGGAAGAAGAACAACAATGAACAGCTCATAGGAGTAATGGTTGTTGCAGGTGGGTGGTTGTTGCAGGTGTGATAACATTGATGATTTCCTACAAGCACATGTGACAAATCACTAGCAGTACAAAGCAATGATGGTCGGAATCCGTACCTCTGCTACTGTCCCAGCTTTAATCATCCTTGTCTGCATCGTACCCTACCTTGTGTATGCATATACTCCTTCTACGTCAAGGTTCCATCATCTCACTCCCAAAATATCATCACCCACTGTTCACTTCCCGACTGTTATCCGCTTGCTTTCAACAATGGCGGCCGTGTTGCAACAAGAGGAAGTAGTGATAGTTGGAGCTGGGATAGCTGGACTAGCAACATCTTTAGCTCTTCACAGGTAACCACCCCCAATCCCAAAGCTTCCTCGTTAGATATGTAAACTTTTGAGCACTGGGTAACTTGAAATTAGCTCTGCTTTGCAGGCTTGGAATCAGAAGCCTGGTGCTGGAGTCAGCACCGAGCTTGAGGGTTACTGGGTTTGCTCTGGTGACATGGACGAATGCTTGGAGAGCTCTGGATGCTCTTGGGTTAGGAGACGCTCTTCGCCAGCAACATCAGCGGATTTATGGGTAGTTACTTTTTTATTTATTGAAAAATGGGGTTTTGCAGAACCTTTTCAGGTTTTTTTTTTCTTCTTCTAAAATTGATACATGGATGGTGTTTGATGAAATGCCAGAGTGGTGCATGCTTCCACGATTACAGAACAGACGAGCGCAGAGGTGCCTTTCTCTGGTAAAGGACATGAAGCTCGATGTGTGCAGAGGAAGCTGTTGCTTGAAGCCATGGTGAATGAGCTTCCCGATGGCACTATCAGGTACTCATCAAATGTGGTTTCCATGGAGGATTCTGAGTTGGATTCTGGGTGCTTAGTCAAGTCGCTGCATCTTTCTGATGGCACCGTTATTAAAACAAAGGTAAACAAGAGATGGGGAAAAAAAGGGATGGGAAACTTTTGTATATAGTGGATTCAGTAGTCCATTATACATCTGGAACTAAATTGATTCATTATTGGAAGGTGTTGATCGGCTGCGATGGAGTGAATTCCATGGTGGCGAAGTGGCTGGGATTCAGCAATGCAGCATTCACTGGAAGATCAGCAGTTAGAAGCATGTCAATATTCCCACAAGGCCACGAATTCGGCTCTAAGTTCCTTCTGTTTGTTGGGAAGGGCGTTCGAGTTGGTTGTCTTCCTTGTGATGACAAAACCTTGCACTGGTTCTTCACTTGGACACCCTCTACCCAAGGTATGCTTCATTCTTTCTGGTGTATCTTATGATTAAAATTACAACTCCAGCATGAGAACTTCTTACTACCAAGTCACACTGATATCGCACCCAGAACGAATTTCTCATCTTATGTCATTCGTTTACGGTATACTTGTCTTGTAATCTGCAGAGAAGGATCTCCTAGATAACCCTGCTAAGCTGAAGGAATTTGTACTAAGCAAACTCCAGAACACACCTGATATGAAGAAATTCGTTGAGAACACTGAGACAGACAAAATCATGTCATCCCCATTACGGTACAGGCGGCCATGGGAGGTTCTGATAGGGAACATAAGCAAAGGCAATGTCTGTGTTGCAGGGGATGCCCTGCATCCCATGACTCCTGATATCGGCCAAGGCGGCTGCTCCGCCTTGGAAGATGGTGTCACGCTTGGCAGGTGCCTTGCTGAAGCCTTGAAGAAGAATTCTTCTGGCATGGGAAGTGAAGAGATAGGCAAGGAAGAGTCTAAAATGATTGAGGCTGGATTGAGTAAATATGCCAGAGAAAGGAGATGGAGGAGCTTTGAGCTCATTGCCACATCTTACTTGGTGGGTCGTGTGCAGCAAAGCGAAGGAAAGATTGGGACTTTTCTGAGAGATCATCTGTTGGCTAAGTTTCTTGCTGGGTTGCTGCTGAAAAGAACTGAATTTGACTGTGGGAAGCTCATCAGCTATTAGCAGAGTTTGTTTTGTATTATGTTTTTCTTTTGATTATCTTTGGACATTAGTGTATTGTTAATTTAATGTTTTAAGATTATGTTATATCAGAAGAGAGAATGAAATGTGGTTTCCTAATAAAAAATAATGCCTCGGCTATCGTCACAGCTTTAGTCATCCTTCTTGTCTGCATCGTACACTTACTTTGTGTATATATATACTCCTCCTACGTCAAGGATCAATCATCTCACTCCCGAAAATATCATCACCCACTGTCCAGTGTCCACTTCCTAATTGTTATCCGCTTGCTTTAATGCTTTCAACAATGGCGGCCGTGTTGCAACAAGAGGAAGTAGTGATAGTTGGAGCTGGGATAGCTGGACTAGCAACATCTTTAGCTCTTCACAGGTAACCACCCCAATCCCCAAGCTTTCTCGATCGATATATAACTTCTTAAGTACTGGGTAACTTCAATTTTCAATTCTGCTGTGCAGGCTCGGAATCAGAAGCCTGGTGCTGGAGTCAGCACCGAGCTTGAGGGTTACTGGGTTTGCTCTGGCGACATGGACGAATGCTTGGAGAGCTCTGGATGCTCTTGGGTTAGGGGACGCCCTTCGCCAACAACATAAGCTGATTGATGGGTAGGGTAGTTACAGCATTTCGAGATTTTGATGGAATATTGGGTTTCTGCAGAAGCTTTTCAGGCTTTTTCTTTTGAACTGATGCATGGATGGTGTTTGATGAAATGCCAGAGTGGTGCTTGCTTCCACGATTACAGAACAGACCAGCGCAGAGGTGCCTTTTTCCGGCAATGGACATGAAGCTCGATGTGTGCAGAGGAAGCTGTTGCTTGAAGCCATGGAGAAGGAGCTTCCGGTTGGCACTATCAAGTACTCATCAAATGTGGTGTCCATGGAGGATTCAGAATCGGATTCTGGGTTCTTAGTGAAGTCGCTGCATCTTTCTGATGGTACTGTTATCGAAACTAAGGTAAGCAAGATGTCGAAACTTTGGTATAGTGGAATCAATAGTCAATTATACCTCAAACTAATTTGATTCATAAATGGAAGGTGTTGATCGGCTGCGATGGAGTGAATTCCATGGTGGCAAATTGGCTAGGATTCAGCAAGGCAGCATTCACAGGAAGATCAGCAGTGAGAAGCGTTGCCATATTCCCACAAGGCCATGAATTCGGCTCCAAGTTCCTTCTGTTTGTCGGGAAGGGCTTTCGAGCTGGTTGTATTGCTTGTGATGACAAAACTTTGTACTGGTTCTTCACTTGGACACCATCTACCCAAGGTATGCTTCATTCTTTCTGATATGTCTTAAGCTTAAAATTAGAATTCCAACAGGAGAAATTTTGATTTCCAAAGTCACTGATATCGTATCAAGGACGAATTCCTCAACTTATGTCATTATACTTATCTTGTAATCTGCAGAGAAGGATCTCCAAGACAATCCTGCTAAGCTCAAGGAATTCGTACTAAGCAAACTCCAGAACACACCTAATATGAAGAAAGTTGTGGAGAACACCGAGACAGAAAGAATCATGTCCTCCCCATTACGGTACAGGCGGCCATGGGAGGTTCTGATGGGGAACATAAGCAAAGGCAATGTCTGTGTTGCAGGGGATGCCCTGCATCCAATGACTCCTGATATCGGCCAAGGCGGCTGCTCTGCCTTGGAAGATGGTGTCACGCTTGGCAGGTGCCTTGCTGAAGCCTTGAAGAAGCAATCTTCTGGCTTGGGAAGTGAAGAGATTGGCAAGGAAGAGTCTAAAAGGATTGAGGCTGGATTGAGTAGGTATGCGAAAGAAAGGAGATGGAGGAGCTTTGAGCTCATAGCCACATCTTATTTGGTGGGTCGTGTGCAGCAAAGTGAAGGAAAGATTGGGACTTTTGTGAGAGATCATGTGTTGGCTAAGTTTCTTGCTGGGTTGTTGCTGAAGAGAGCTGAATTTGATTGTGGGAAGCTCAGCAGCTACTAGCAGATTTCCTCTTTGGTTTTGGGGGAAGATGTCAGATCCAAGAGTAAAATTGAAAGGTAAAATATATGTTTTTCGTAACATACTAGCATACAAATTATATCTTGATGCGGATTTAGGGATGATGTAAGATCCAATGTGTAACCCATTAGGCTGAAAGAAAGACTAAAAAATAAAATATACTTGAAATACTATCCACCTTTGTCCCTTTGGAACCATCCTTCCCACTATCTGTTCTCATCGTCACTGCTTTCATCATCCTTGAGACTGTTGGCCTCAGTCTACATCATAAAGTTGGAGTCTTTCTCGTTGAAATGTCCAAAGCTGGAGTTATCTCCGTAAAAGATTTGGATAAAATCATAAAACATTGGCACAATATCAAGACCCTTCTGCTTGCCGTCATCAATGGCGGTAGTTCCCCGAGAAGAAGATGTAGTGATTATTGGAGCTGGTATAGCAGGACTAGCAACATCCTTGGCTCTTCACAGGTATCTCCAAGTGAAAAGCTTCTTCAGGGTTGTCGATCAACTTGATCTGTAACGAGTAACTTAAAATTTGCTGCAGGCTTGGAATCAAAAGCTTGGTGTTGGAATCAGCAACGAGCTTGAGGGTAACTGGGTTTGCTCTGGGAACATGGACTAACGCTTGGAGAGCGCTGGACGCTCTTGGTATTGGAAATCATCTTCGCCAACAGCACCGTCTGCTTGATGGGTAATCTTCTGAGAAATTGGGTTCGTAAGAGTTTCATGCTTTTTTTGTCCATGTTAGAATTAACTAAGGGAGACATGCTGTTCGATGGAATGCCAGAGTGGTTTTTGCTTCCACTATTACAGGAGGCATCAGTGTCGATATGTCTCTCACTGGTACTGGACATGAACTTCGGCGCGTGCATAGGAAACTGTTGATTGGAGCCATGGAAAAGGAACTCCCAAATGGTACGATAAGGTACTCCTCCAAGGTAGTTTCTATGGAGGGATCGGAGTCAGACTGCTACAAGCTGCTGCATCTTGGTGATGGCACCATCATCAAAGCCAAGGTGATCATCAAGAGAGAAAAAATGGGAACTTTTGCCTAGCATAATCAATCCCCTGGCCCTGGTACTAACTGAACCCGCTTGATTGTTTCATGATAGGTGTTGATTGGTTGCGATGGAGTGAATTCCTTGGTGGCAAAGTGGATAGGATTGAACGAGGCAGTAACCTCAGGGAGATCAGGAGTTAGGGGCTCTGCAACATTCCCAGAAGGTCATGGCTTTACCTCCAAGCTCTTCATGTTTGTCGGAAAGGGCTTTCGAGCTGGCTGTCTCCCGTGCGATGATAATACCATCTACTGGTATTTCTCCTGGACACCCTCTATCCAAGGTATATAGCTTAAGATTTCTGAAGTAAAAAAGTTAAAAAAATCTCTCTCATAGTTCAATGACAGGAAGTGTACTATTCTCTAATTGCAGAACATGATCTCCTGTATAACCCATCTAAGCTGAAGGAATATGTGCTGAGCAAGCTGCAGAATGCACCTGATCTAAAGAAAGTTGTGGAGAAGACTGAGTTGGACAGTGTTATGTCGTCTCCTTTGCGCTACAGAAATCCATGGGAGTTTCTGTGGAAGAAGTTAACCAGAGGTAACGTTTGTGTTGCTGGGGATGCATTGCATCCCATGACCCCTGATCTCAGCCAAGGCGGCTGCGCTGCATTGGAGGACAGTGTGACTCTTGGCAGGTGCCTTGCTGAGGCTTTGAAGAAGAACCCTGGACCTGGAGGGGAGGACACAGAAACTTGCGAGCAAGAGTACAGAAGGATTGAACTTGGACTGAGAGAATATGCCAAGGAGAGGCGATGGAGAAGCTTTAAGCTCATAGCTACTGGTTGTTTGGCGGGACGTGTGCAACAGAGCCAGGGGAATATCACAACGTTTCTGAGAGATCGCGTGCTGGCCAAGTTTCTTGCTGGGTTACTGTTGCAAATAGCTGAATTTGACTGTGGGACGCTCACTAGCAGATAGCAATCCTACACCCCAACTTGTCTTGTACACAGTTTCAGCTTGTATGATAAAAAAATGTCTGATTAACGTGTACGGTTCACAGCCGCATTCCTTTTCTCTGTAGTCAACCCTCTACTTCTACCAAATAAATGCCCAAGATTGAGATTCATTGAAGGAACCACCATATCTGTTTCCTATTGTTTCCCGGTCTTTATAATAAGACCTGGCCATTGCCTTCCTCCTCTCACCCAACGTACACAATTGCATTCCAAGTTAGCAACAACATTCACGAGAGAATCAAGATCGAACCTTTTTCAGGTAGTGAGTTATTTTCTGCAACTTCTTCATGAAAAATATTTATACTCTGCAACTGCTTTATTCTTCCGTCTCTGGGGAGAGAAAGCTGACCGCTTTTCTGGGTTTTGCCGGCGGCTAGGTTTCGTGGGGGTGAAGAAACGAGAGAGACTCTGTTTACTGTTCAGGAAACGGATCGCCGGTGGGTGTTTTTTTTTTTATTTCAGCGGCCGTGAGAAGATCGCCGCCTGGTTTCATGTGACACCGAGAGAGAGAGAGAGAGAGAGACAGAAGAATAAACTATCTTTAAATTTGCTTTCCTTACCTTTTAAGCGTAGCATCATTAGGGCTGGAAGTTTGTTACCGGTAGTATTTGGGATATACCGAATACCGTACCGAATTTGTCTATATTTGGTATTACCGAATACACGTATTATTTTGTGGGATTGAGATTGGGATTTAATTTCAATTGTTATTCGGTATTAGGGATTACGGGATTGGGATCGGTATATACCGAAATACCGATCAATACCGAAATATAAGCTAGTGTGTATTTTATCCTCTCAACTAAACTCTCTCATTCTCTACTACGCGAACATCAACCACCAAAAGTATCATTTAATTATACATAGATCATTACATCACTATTTCACACTATTATTAGTCGTCTCTCAACCTCAAATTCATCAAATTAAAGATTACCAATTACAAGAACTTGAGATGTTAGCTCTAGGCAACTCAAGACTATTTGCTTAGTCTCTTCGCTCAAAATTAAACAATAAAATCTAATTTATATATTTAATTATTAATTGCAAAGGTAATTAATTATGCATTCGATAATACCGATTGGGATACCGAGGTACCGATTGGGATACCGAAATTATTTAGGGATTGGGATTGGGATACCGAAATTATTTAGGGATTGGGATTGGGATTGATTTTAGGGTGTAATTCGATATTCGGGATTTCGATATTTGGTATTGGGATACCGATACCGTACCGATTTCCACCCCTAAGCATCATGATGCCGTATTGGTGTCATCACTAGTGACGATATTTGATTCTCATCACCTTTTTATATACTCCATGCTCGACAAGGATTCATCATCCCAATAACAAAATCATCATCCATTGACTATTGCCACCGCTTGTATGCTGTAACAATCCCATTTTGTTGAACTGCCTCTTCAACCAGGAAAAGAAGTATTCGAAGGACCGTTCTGCTTGCTCTCTGATCGATGGCGGCCGTGTTGCAAGAAGAAAAGGTAGTGATTGTTGGAGCTGGTATAGCTGGGCTAGCAACATCCTTGGCTCTGCACAGGTACTTCAAAAAGTGATAATCTTGGTCTGCTTACCAGATCTGTAAGACCATAAACGAGTGACTTAAATTTGCTTTCAGGCTGGGAATCAAAAGCCTGGTGTTGGAATCAGCAGCGAGCTTGAGGATTACTGGGTTTGCGCTGGGAACGTGGACTAACGCCTGGAGAGCTCTGGACGCTCTTGGTTTGGGAGATGGTCTTCGTCAACAACACCGGCTGCTTGATGGGTAACCCTGGCCTTGAGAAATTTTCATTTTGTTTTCGTAAAGTTTTGATTTTTTCGATATGCTGTGCTGTCATGAGTTGGAACAAGCTGATTGAACTGTTGGATCAAGAAGTTGGGTCGAGAAGATAACTTTGGGTTGGGCTTTATGTCATATGAAGTTGAATCTATAGAAAGCCTAGTTAGAAGTTAGAAGGACGTGAGCTAGCTGTTATGTAGTTGCTAGTTTTAAGGCCTACGGTTGTTAGCAGTTCCTTGTTTTGTGTTTGATGGGCTGAGTGGTAGCTTGTTTTTAGCTTGCAACAGTTGAGTTTGATGTATTTAAACGTTTCTTTGTTACGTGAATAAATGAATCCAGTTTTCCCTTCTATCGAGTGTAACATAGTGGTATCAGAGCCTTATAGGTTAACACCGAAGTGATCCAGGTTTGGGAGGCGGTGGCCACCACGGCCACGGCCACCGCCACCTATTGGTAAATAAGATGTTGAGCGTGAAGGGCCTGGAGAGGGAGGTGGTAGTAGGTGAGCAAGAAATTGGAATTGAGAAAGTGAACGTAGGATTGGTGAACCAGAAGTAGAGAGATGCAAACCATGGCCGACAGAGATGGTGGCGAGAGAGGCAGCTGTGGATTCGGGGGACGAGGAAGCGATGGAGGAAGGGATCGTCGGTGGTCGCCACTAGGAGGAGGAGAAGTGGGCTATCGTTACCAGCGGCAATTTTCGTAATCGACATTGACTGGGACTTGATGACACCATTGGTGGATGGAAAAGCGTAGGTATTGTGTCCCTGACCATCGATGAACAGAACCGCCTCGTTGCTTTCCTCCTTGGCAGGCGAGCATAGAAAGGAAGAGACAAGAAGCAGAGCAACAAGAACGCGAGATCATCGACTCCCTTGTTGGTCCCAGCGTTCTGAAGGACGAGGTCATGAAGATTAGTCCCGTCCAGAACCAGACTCGCACGGACAGCGCACCTGATTCAAGGTCTTCGTTGTCGTCAGCCACGGAAACAGCCACATCGGATTGAGTGTCAAGTGTACCAAAGAAGTAGCCACTGCAATTCACAACGCCATCATTCCTGGCAAAGCTATTCGTGATTCTGGTAAGGAGAGATTACCGGTGGAACAAAATTGGGCTGCACCATAAGATGTCGTGCAAGGTCACCGGGAAATCTCTCTCACAGTCCGGATGGTGCCTGATTCGCCTGGTGCTGGGATTGTCCCAGCTCGCCAGTGGTAGAAAGAAGAAGAAGATGAGGATTGAAGTGAGCGATCAGAAATGGCGTCTCAATCGATGCAATCATCTATGTCGGAGGACAGAGTTTTATTCAGTGGAGACTGAATTCGATCTGATGAGATTGATGATGCGTAACAATTAAGCTGCATAGAAGAACATTGATGCTGAGGCAGCTAGTAACTCTAAAGACAAGCTTCCCGTCAGTAAATAGAGGTAAAGGGAAAGGAGCAAGGTGAAGAAAGTGTTTGATTGTGAGGTTCAAGTTGGTGCCTCTTTCAGTTACGTCTCCATTGATTGGTGGGGTACCAGAAAGAAATATCAGGTTCTTGTTTACTTAATTATTTTTTGTTGAATATTCTGGTGGTGGTTGGAATTTGTTGTGGAAGTGTTTGGGTTACAATTGTTGATTCCAGGAGGATTGGTAGGGAGATAGTGAAGGAAGGTTTTGTTGATGCAGTGAACTGAAGCTTGTTTCAGTAGGCTTCAGTTCAGGGGAGGATGAATTGACGGATGGCAGGAATCAACTGTGAAGTTTATGTTCTGGGATTTGGAGTTTAGAGGCACATTTCTAGCTGAAACGAGCAAGATTTATCAGATGGAATAGAAGAGGCTAGTTTCTCTAGATGGTGTCCTAGCTCATGGAATGGTAGTGGCATAAATGAATGATCAAGTGACTGTGGAGTAAGCTGCGACCAAGCTGTGAATGGAAACTTACTGATAAAGACTTACAAACTAAGAGGCTGTTGTAACAATGTGAAGGAGAAGCCTGGATGAGCAGCTGTGTCACTGAAAAACAAGCCAAAGAAGAACAAATTTAAGTTGCTAGTGGTGACTGGTGACAGAGACGTTGCTGACTTCTCCAACATTGTATCATTATCAAAAGAAGAACAAGAAGAGGGGAATGGTGGAAAGGAATGATCAAGTGACCAGGGGAGCAGCTGTAGAGAAGGTGCAGAAGTTTATGCATGAATCAGAAAAAAGAGAAGGGAGAGCTAAACAAAGCCAGGGATGGACAGTTGGGCAGTGCTTAATTCTGCAGCAGCAGCTAACAAAGGAAGAATGAGATGATGAGTTCACAAGGTAGTCAACCAAGGAAGCAATGAGAGAATGGGCAGCAGCTTTACAGAATGGTTAGTATGTTTCTTTATATCCTGTCAAAGTATATTATGAAGACTGTGAGTGTGATTGTAGCATTAGTTCAACAATAGACTTTCAGAGAAGTAGATGGCGAAGAATGATGTTGGATTAAGGGAATCCATGGTTGTGCAAGGATGCTCGGGGAACTGTTAAAGGAAATGTCAGCTGGACATACCTACGAGTGAGGTAGGTGGTGTGACCTGTGAGTGAAGCAGGTTGGGTTTTAATGTCAGCTAGACATACCTACGAGTGAAGTAGGTGGTGTAACCTGTGAGTGGAGCAGGTTTGGTTTCAATGTCATTCGACGAGTAGGAAGCAAAGTGGTTGATCCTTATTCGGTGGGCGAGTGACTGGTTTAGAAGTACTCGGTTGCTATGTCATGCAACAAGTAACAATTTGAGAGTTTGCAAATAGCACCTTGAGGTGCAACTCTCGCTTGTCGGCAGATGACATAGAAGGAGAGACTTGAGAGGACAAGTCTAGAGAGTATAGTGAAGAAACCGGGAATGAAAACAGTTGAGCATGCCTTGCCAGGAAGAAGATAGAAGAAAGTGAAGTTGAACTGAAGCCAATCTCGTTGGAGGCTAGCATCAAATGATTGAGTTGATTGATAGTGTTGCTGCAAACTCTCAAGTGGTTGAATATTCTGAAGTTGCGATTCTGGTTGATGGAAGGAGTGAAGTTGTTACTGCTGCAGATGATCTTGTGCTGGTTTAAACTCAAACTTTAACCGGTTTGAGTTTAGGGGAGGATATGTTGGATCAAGAAGTTGGGTCGAGAAGATAACTTTGGGTTGGGCTTTATGTCATATGAAGTTGAATCTATAGAAAGCCTAGTTAGAAGTTAGAAGGACGTGAGCTAGCTGTTATGTAGTTGCTAGTTTTAAGGCCTACGGTTGTTAGCAGTTCCTTGTTTTGTGTTTGATGGGCTGAGTGGTAGCTTGTTTTTAGCTTGCAACAGTTGAGTTTGATGTATTTAAACGTTTCTTTGTTACGTGAATAAATGAATCCAGTTTTCCCTTCTATCGAGTGTAACATGAACATAAGTTGTTCGATGAAATGCCAGAGTGGTTGCTGCTTCCACGATTACAGGAAAGACCACAGCTGAAATGTCTTTTGCTGGTACCGGACATGAGATTCGGTGTGTGCAGAGGAAACTGTTGCTTGAAGCCATGGAAAGGGAGCTCCCAAATGGTTCTATAAGGTACTCCTCCAAAGTGGTTACTATGGAAGAATCGGGGTCCGGCTATTCCAAGCTGCTGTATCTTGATGATGGTACCATCATCAAAACCAAGGTAAATAGAAGAGAAAAGATTACAAGTTTAGTCCTGGCAGAATCAGTTCGTATCTGAACCCCTTTGATTTGTCAACATAAGGTGTTGATTGGCTGTGATGGAGTGAACTCCGTAGTGGCAAAGTGGATAGGATTGAACGAGGCAGTAACTTCATGCAGATTAGCAGTTAGAGGTACTGCAACGTTCCCAGAAGGCCATGGCTTTGCCTCCAAGCTCTTCATGTTTGCTGGAAATGGCTTTCGAGCTGGCTGTCTCCCTTGCAATGATAAAACCATGTACTGGTTCTTCTCCTGGACACCCTCTATCCAAGGTAATGTTATCAATCATGAAAGTATGTGAAATGCCTTCACTGTTCCATGTCTAAGAAGTGTACTCTCTCTTTCAGAAAAGGATCTCCAATATAACCCTTCCAAGCTGAAGGAATACGTGCTGAGCAAACTTCACAATGCACCCAACCTGAAGAAGGTCGTGGGGAAAACCGAGTTAGATTGCGTTATGTCATCTCCTTTGCGCTACAGAAGCCCATGGGAGTTTGTGTGGAAGAGCTTAGCCAAAGGTGGCGTCTGTGTTGCTGGGGACGCCCTGCATCCCATGACGCCTGATCTCGGGCAAGGTGGCTGTGCTGCCTTGGAAGATAGTGTCACTCTCGGCAGGTGCATTGCAGAGGCCTTAAACAAGAACTCTACCGTGGAGAACAACGAAACAGACGAGGAAGAGTGCAGAAGGATCGAGCTTGGGTTGAGTAAGTATGCCAAGGAGAGAAGATGGAGAAGCTTTCAGTTCATCACTGCAGCTTATTTGGCTGGCCGTCTGCAACAGAGCCAGGGGACGATCACGACGTTTCTGAGAGATCGTGTCTTGGCTAACTTTCTTGCTGGGTTGCTGTTGAAAATTGCTGCATTCGACTGTGGGAAGCTTACTAGCAAATAGCTATAGTTCTTTCTTCACATTGTTGTAAGGAGGCAGAATCTTGTATCGAAAGCAAAATTCCAAACCCACACCTCCATTCTCGCCGGCTTCGATCTTGGAGTGCGATGGTGATTGGATTATCGAAAATTTCATAACTTTCTCAACTTGCATAGCCCCTTCCGTCCTAGCTTTGCTTTCATTATCCGCATGACAAACTTTTCAGGACTATGTCAGTTAGATCCATAAATCCAATCACCAATCCATTTGATTCAAATTCATGAATCTTACAATTCACTAATTCAATCCATGAATCCAAACCATACTTCACCTCAGTGACGGACCCAGAAATTTTTTATAGGGGTGTCCTCTTTTAAAAAATAAATTAAATAAAAATAATTAATAAAAATAAAATTTAAAATATGAAAATACCTTACTCGTATAGGTTAAAAAAGTCCATGATATGTTTTCATATTCTGAAATAATTGTAGAATACACTTGGTGTCTATAGTGTTAAAAAATTGTCTCTATATACACTACTAGACAATCATTCACAAACTTATCGTATATTCGATTTGTAAACTTGTTCTTGATGTAACCCAAAGCAAAAAGACTCTTTCAACACTTGCCATACAATCATAAAATCAATACAAATTAAGGGTAGTTTGAAATTGGTTTAATTGTTAGGTTTTTAAAATAATTGAAGATAGGGAATGACATTTTACTCACATTGTTCAAAATCTAACAACAAATGAGTTTAGCTCAACGGAAATTAAGTTTATTAATAATAATAGTGTTCTAGACTTGAATTATTCAACCTACCACTTATATTCCTATACACAAATGACAGAAGGATAATCATTTTTCAAATTTAAGGGTGTCACTCGCTATCAATTATATTTTTTTTGTCCATACGTAAATTACTACCGGGGTTGGATAATCGTTTTTCCAAAGAACACCCCTAAACCCTCCTGGGTCCGCCCCTGCTTCACCTCTATTAGCGGGTCATATGCAGCTTGGTGATAGTAAGATCACAAAGTTTGTTAGAGATCATGCATTGGCCCAATTTCTTGCTCGATTTTAGTTGAAGATGACCGAATACGGATGCGGGAAGCCCACTAGCAATACCTGACTTGATTTATAGTCTCTTCTCGTAAAATTTGTCTAAAATTTGTGAACCAATTTGCTTATAATTTGAATGTATTGGATTCATCAAGAATCTGATTGATTGGAGAAATTAGATTAATTTGTAACCCAATAAATTGAGCTTGTTATCCTTCCTGAAATCTGATTATGCTTAATCAAATCTTCTAGTTTGACATGATCAAAATTAGCTGACTAAACTCGTTTAACCTATAATTGTAGACTCGCAATAATTTTGATCATTTATCTTTTTCTTTTGCCCTCAAAGATCACGGCCCATTTATCGTTATCCTTTTCTTGATTAAAGTTTTTTCGGGCCCATATTCTACCAAACCAGCTGGGCCCAGTTTCAGCCCACGAGTCCTACTCCTATTCCTAGCCGTCTACATGAACTGAGGTGCGACATCGTTTCATGCTCCCCCACCGCATTATAGAAACCGGCGAGATTAATCCGTCCATTGTTTCTCCTTTCCTCTCTCGCATTCGCAGTATCTTGACTTGAAGCGAACGAAACCTAGCGAAAGGAAAGCTTTGTTTTCTGTTCGTCGGAAGCAATTATCGGCAAAGATGAGTACCGCGCCAGCTCAAGATGTCGAGATGAAGGAGACTCCGGCTCCGGTGGCAGCTTCGTCCAATTCAGCTACCTCCGCCGCGCCTTCGGCTCTCCAACGTGAGTTCGCATTGCTGATTTTGGTTGGATTGTAATTTGGGGGTGTAGATTTGGGGGTTTATGTTATGCTGTGTTTGGTTTTCCTTCCAGATTTGAAGGAGATTGCTTCGTTGATTGAGACTGGGGCGTATGCTCGTGAAGTTCGGAGGATTGCGCGGGCCATTAGGCTGACTATGGCACTGAGGCGGAAATTGAAGACCTCGGTGGTCTCGGCTTTCCTCAACTTCGCCCTCACTCCTGGATCAGAGCCACATGCGCGTCTGTCATCTTATCTCCCCAAGGTGATTTCATTACAGTTGTTGTGAGTTCTTCGTGTTGGTGATAGTCCAACTAGTGGCTTAACTGTGCATTACCTGTGAATTGGTTTGATGGGTAGTGAAGAAACCTCTTGCTTTATACTATTTTCTTACACATATCACTTACCACATTATCGAACCTATTGGGAAGGGTAGTGAAACCGCCTGCAAGATCTTTTAGTGTTACTGAGGATAGAACTCTATTAGGCAACCTCATCGAGATTGATTGTTTCTAGACTTATAGTTCCATGATAAAGTCTGGCCCCTACCTTTTGAGGGGGATCAGCCTTAGGTAGCAGTTTCTTTGTTGGTGCATTGTGGAACCTTAGCTGGCAGTTTTATCTTGGGTTGCAGGAGGATGACCATGAAATGGAGGTTGATACTGCAACCTCGGTAGTGCAAGCTCCTGTGAAGCACTCCCTTCCGGAGCTGGAGATATTTTCTTACTTGCTGGTCTTGATATTTCTGATTGATCAAAAGAAATACAGTGAGGTAATTCATCGTATAAGTGATTTCAGAATTAGAGCCCATTTCATTCAGCTGCTATTACTGATCTACTTGTCACATGCTTTCATGTTTTAGGCTAAAGCTTGTTCATCAGCAAGCATTGCAAGGCTTAAGAACATTAACAGAAGGACTGTTGATGTCTTAGCATCGAGGCTTTATTTCTACTATTCCCTCAGCTACGAGCACACTGGTGACCTTGCTGAAATAAGAGGGTGAGTTGTATATTCTTTTGCAATGTCAATTGGCGGCGTAACATCTGGGCTTCTTCTGTTTTGGTTGTACTTATTTTCTAGATTTCTTTGGGTTTTGCCTGACTTGCTTCTTTTCTTATTGGCAGTAACCTGCTTGCACTTCACCAGATCGCGACTTTGCGCCATGATGAGCTGGGTCAGGTACATTTTCCAAGGACATGAATCATGGTTTTTTTGCCTTTCAGATTCCTGATTCATGTCCTTACGAAATAACCTTATTATGCAGGAGACACTTCTCAATCTGCTGCTACGCAATTACCTCCACTACAATCTGTATGATCAAGCGGAGAAGCTAAGGTCCAAGGCTCCCCGATTTGAAGCCCATTCAAATCAGCAGGCAAGCAATTCTCTATAATTAATCAACTTCTAACTTCTGTATGTGATATTGGCGTTTCGATTGCATATTGTACCAGGTGCCTTTTGGTTTTGCTTTTGAATTTTTTTAATGTAACTCTATTCCGCATTTTACAACATAGCATCCATGAGGTCTGGAGGCAATATCAACAAAATCCAGGTCATTTTAAAACTTGGATAGGCTTAATTCAGATAGAAAGACTCTTGATACTTCTAATCTTTAGGTAACCAGTGATACTCAAGGCCTCAGCCTTCTTCTCAGTAAGTCCAATCATCGAACTAGACTTCCAGTAAGTGATGAAACCAGTGGAAGCCGTCTAATGTGTTACTGAGTTGGTAAAGTAACATGAATGAATAGGAGTCACTGCACAGAGATTTGCATGATAGAAATGTCTAGAATGCATCTACTAGTATGGTCTTCATGCATAAACAGCATGAACTATATACTCACTATGCTCTTTCATTGATTAAAGTAGTGAATTATGTCTAATGAAATTTTGTTGCAACATGAGTGAACAAGAACTCCAGTACGTTATTTCATGATAGAGATGCCACAACTCACAAATGTCGGTATCTTCATGCTCATTCTACCCTTCTCACTTCAGCTCTTCTTCTCTATGGCAGTTTTGTAGGTACCTCTTTTACCTGGGAAAGATTAGGACGATTCAGTTGGAATACACAGATGCTAAGGAGTCCCTCCTACAAGCTGCTCGGAAAGCCCCCATTGCAGCCCTTGGCTTCCGTATCCAATGCACTAAATGGGCTGTCATTGTCAGATTGCTGCTAGGAGAAATCCCCGAAAGGACCGTCTTTATGCAGAAAGGCATGGAGACAGCTCTGAGGCCTTACTTTGAGTTGACAAATGTAAGTATCTTTCTTATCTGAAATCAAGTTCTTGATTGATATGCATTACAGTGAAAACAAGATAACTAATGAGGGTCACTATTATGATTCCCAATCTCACAGGCTGTCAGAATAGGTGACTTGGAGCTCTTCAAATCTGTGGCTGAGAAGTTCTCAGCGACATTCAGCGTGGATAGGACCCACAACCTGATCGTCAGGCTGCGCCACAATGTCATCAGAACTGGGCTCAGGAATATCAGCATCTCCTACTCTCGTATTTCGTTGGCCGACGTCGCCAAGAAGCTGAGACTCGACTCCCCAAACCCCGTTGCTGATGCAGAAAGCATTGTCTCCAAAGCAATCCGAGATGGCGCGATCGACGCGACAATTGATCATGCCAAGGGGTGGATGGTGTCTAAGGAGACTGGGGACATTTACTCTACGAATGAGCCGCAGATGGCATTCAACTCGAGGATTGCCTTCTGCCTCAACATGCACAACGAAGCTGTCCGTGCACTCCGCTTCCCTCCCAACTCCCACAAGGAGAAGGAGATTGCTGAGAAGAGGAGGGAGAGACAGCAGCAAGAGCAGGAGCTTGCCAAGCACATCGCGGAAGAAGATGATGATGAGTTTTAAGAGTTTGGAGGGAGCTTAGTCCATTTTCTCAGTTCCATTTGTGTTCTGCTAGAAATTGTTTACTTGTACTAGTAGGTGGTTTCACCTTCTGCATATTTATAGACCATCTCTTTGGCACGATTTTCAGATTTCGAGCATTCTACTGTGTTCCAGTTAGCGAATCAGTGAGATATTTACTTGAACTAGTAGGTGCACAGTATCACCTGCTTTTTTGGATTTGGTTCCAGGATGCCAAAGGTTAGAAACAATGTAAACCTTCACCATATCATTTATCAACTATCTCTTTGTTACAAAACTTCTGAATTCAACCATTGTTGGTACAAAAAAAGGAGCAAGATCACATTGTCAACAGGTTTCACCAAAGATTACTGAATATGCAATCAAGTTGAGCTCAGCCCAAATGACTTGACAATGTTGCTAACTCTTTCTGCGAAAGTCCTTGATGTGATCTTTTTACCCGGTACGTGAAAGGGGTTTGAGACAGCGTCAACATATGCAGCATGGAACCTCCGGAAAAACTGCATCGCGATATCATTGAACAATCTAAAGTGAGAAGTTGTGACAAGTCATACATAGCCAGAGCCCAGACTCCAGAGGCCACTGGGGTAGATAGTAGATTTATCAGATTAATCATCGTCTTAAGAATAATGCAGCAAGCTAGATACTCAATTATAGCATATCTATATACTCAAGGAACATGAACAAGGGATTCTAGTTCCTCTGCCATGCAACAATTCCAGGCTAGGGGGAGCAGAAATGCAAGTGCCAAAGCTTGAAGACGATGTTCTCACATGGAAAATCTAGACGCTTTTCGAGACAACAGGGAGAGGTTATCAGTTTAAGCAAACAAAATCCCTCACCAGAGCAGAATCAACCTTTTTGCAGATTAAACCCCAATACCTCAGCTATATAACTTCACAATCTTAGTAACATCAAAGGAATAGTACCGTCCCAAGATAATGCCATTCACAGCAGAACTACAGAGGTAGAAATCTGTACGACCACCAGCTTACTCCGAAAACCATCCTAGCAAGTCTATGTTCAAATTTCCATATGCCCCGGTTGCAGGACAAGAGATCAACACAGTAAATCTTCAACTATTGGCAGAGAGAAGGCCCAAAATCCAATCTTTAGAGAAGGGTAATGGCAATACTTACATTTCTCACATCAACGTCTCTAACGTCCAAATCCGTCGTCACCAAGATAAACTTCACCTTCGTGTTCGTCAGATATCCATACCTGAAACACCAAAGCAACATTCAATAAGCAAAACTTCCAAGCTCCCCAATTGGAATCATCCAGAAAAAGCTATCGAAACAGGATGCTTACACTTTGTAATTCTCAGTCGGATACAGCAATCCTAGAAACGTTTCGTTCAGAGTCGGCCCGGATTTCTTCGGATTATTCACTGGTTCAGTTACAGATTCCGGATTAGGGGAAATGAAATTCCACATCGAAATTGAAAGATAAAGAAAAATCGCTAGATCAGGATTCAGGATCGGGATTCCGGCGACATTTACCTCGCTCATCGACAACGTCGAGGGAGCAGTGGACGATGTGGTGGAGCTTCAGCGCATCGTCCGCCTCCGTGAAGCTCTGAATGTACAGCGGATTGTTCTGGTCGGCGAAATGAGGAAAACAAACGTCGTCAGATTCCGGCGAATGGAAAATCCGTGATTAAGCAAGTGTAAAGAACGGGAAAGACTGACGCACCTGATGCCCGACGACGGCGACGCAGACGATCATCTCCGCCGATTGAGATTGGTTTATTCTGAGTCGCTGCCGAGTTTTGGTTTTCAGTTGGGAGTGAACTGACGATGCTCTCCGATCGGAAATTTTGGGACGTATTGAGTCGAGAGAAGGAATGTTGATGTGGTGCGGGCAAGCGTAGCGAATCTACCGAGTACCCGCCTGCTTTCTTACTTGGTACATTTCTGTAGTAAAAACACAAGGGGAAAAAAAAGAGAAATATGAGCTTCATTTCACTTCTTATCCAATATATAAATTTAAATTTTTGGGCTAACAATCATTTATCGAACAAAAAGAGCGATAATTTTATAAAATTTCTAAACATGATATTGTTTTGTTATCCCAGCAGAGTGCGACGACAAAAGGGAGTTGTTCAGGATGAAGCATATCGTTTGTTGTAAGCATTTACGACGAATTTAGGTGGAGGATCAATAACACAAGCAGAGATGATGGGGATACTACACGGATTGCAGTATGCATGGACCCTGGGTGTTCGAAAGCTTGTATTGGAGACAAATCCTCATTTTGCAGTGGAGTTGGTGCACTCGGCGCCGCCTTTCTAATCCTCACTTCCCGCTGGCAATGCAAATTTGGCGAATGATAGAGAGGGACTCGGAGGTTCATAAAATGCCTTTAGGTGTCCATTTGATCCCGATTTCGGGAGTTATGTTACAACACTGGTTGATGTATTACTTGACAGGGAGTCAGACTCCCCGTTTTACCTCTTGAGTTAGGACTGGACGTTCTTTTACGCCCATTCCATAGTGCATCAAAGTTAGTTCGCCATTTTGGATTTTTTTAAAGGCACCATCAAAGTAGTTCTTCTAGGTTTAGAATAACCAAATATTCTACCTTCTTCATCAAATTATGCACCATGAAAGAAACAAATTTCCTTGGAACATACTGTTAGAGTTTTTGTATTCCTTGTCCTCCTATATACTCCTTTCAACCCTTTGCTTCAACTCCATATATTATATACCAAGTAAGTACCTTTCCTGCTCCTTAATTCATCTGAATTTCTCACTTAACAATCATACTTAAGTAGTAATTTTTAGTACTTACCACAAAGTTATTTATTTGGTCAAAATGATAAAACTTTTCCTCATCGGGTAATCAAATCCAACGGCCAGGATCAGCTCACCAGTAAAAGCGCTGAAATCGAGCTCATCCACCCTACGTAAAAAAACAAAAACAAAAGATCCCAAATAAAATAATCGGCCAAATACCACGGATTAGGAAATTACAATGCCGCCCCCACAAACACCGCTTCTCTCACCACCACCATTTTTATGATTCTTCGCCTCCTTCCGCCTTTCACCCTTTTTTTTTCTTCTCATTTGCTCTCAGCAATCGGAATTTGTAGTCCGACGACGACGCGAGAGTCGGCCGGTGGCTGCGTTTCAGAACGTGTGATATATAGAGAGCAGGAAAATCAGCTCGTAATCGCGAGGAACCGGGAATCAAGCTCCGGTTTATTGTGTTTTATTTTATCTAGTCTTCCACAACTTTTTGCTCCATTCACCGCCATCGGGTTATCGCAGACGATAAGGTAATGCGTTGTTTTTGTTGTTGGCGATTGAGGGTTTGATCGGTTGAGCTGGTTTCTTGGGTCAATCAAGAGTTGGGTTGATGGTGGGGTTGTTTCTATTTGTTGAGCTGGAATATGCTGGAAGAATGGGGTGGAATCTGCTTTGTGTTTATTGGATTTATCGTGTTGTGCGTTGCTTTTTGATTTTGTGGATGTTGGTTTTTTAGGATGGCATTGGTAGTGCTTGTCTGGGGTTCTCTTTAGCTTGGTGGAATGTCGATTTTGAATGTAGTGTTTGAGGTTATTGTTACTTGTTAGTGATTCTCAGTTGAAATCTATTGGCATGCATTGTTTGATTGTTTCGATTTGAATCCGTAAGTTCCTTTCATTTTCTGTTTAGAGTTGGAAGAGTTGTGGAACGTCCATGTCTCGGGTTATGCTTGATTACAACTAAGCTTTGAGTTGGATTTCTGGGGTCAGCATCTTATGTGAATTTGGCCTAAAGGGTATGTATTGGAGGAGCTTTAGTACATATTAATGATATTGGACGGACTCGTTAATGAACAGGGCTTTCTCGGATAAAGGCGTAGTCTTTAGCTCTGAATGACTACTTTTTCTTGATAGAAATGTCCTACTGCTCTCAACATATTTTGTATTTTGTTTTCAGATGGGAAGCAAACAAATTGATAATGTTACCCATGTTACCGATTCGAACTCCATTGTCGACAGCAATGCCGTAAATGATAGTGTCGACAACAATGCCGTAAATGACAGTGTTGCTACTAGTGAAAGCGAGAGCACTCAAGTTCACAAATATTCTGAGTCTGTCAGGACCTTGCACAATGTGGCTTACATTTATAGACAAGATGTGGTAAAGCACAAGGAAACTGGTTTAATAGGGATAGTAGATGAGGTGGCTGGTGACTCTGATTCAGACAGTAGCATCACTGATGATGACGATGACGATGCTGACGAAGATGATGGTCTTGATGAGGATGATGATGCTGACGGTGATGGTGATGGTCAAGATGATACTGCTGATGGCTGTACCAACAATGACAATGAGAATAGTGACCAGAAGAAAACCGGAGGAAACCGTAAAAGAGAAGCACTTCAGGCTGATCAGGTTCGAGTACTTTGGATGCACGAAATGGAACAAGTACAAAGCATTAATGATGTAAAAGTCATCGATCGGGGTTTCTTGCATGGTGATTATGTTGCTTCTGCTTCAGACCCAACCGGGCAAGTAGGAGTTGTGGTGGATATCAACGTCTCTGTTGATTTGTTAGCTCCTGATGGTTCAGTAGTGAACAATGTATCATCCAAAGGCTTGAAGCGGGTGAGGGAGTTTGTCGTAGGAGATTATGTAGTACTTGGCCCTTGGCTCGGACGAGTTGATGATGTCATGGACAATGTGACTGTTTTAGTGGATGATGGTTCGGTCTGCAAAGTACTGGGTGCTGAACCACTCCGTCTCGAACCTATTTCCAAGAGTTTCTTCGATGAAGATGATCATTTTCCTTACTACCCTGGGCAGCGTGTGAGAGCAAGCTCGTCCTCGGTATTCAAGCATTCCCGATGGTTATATGGTTTGTTTAAGCCTAATAGATTAGAAGGAACTGTTACCAAAGTCACAGCAGGATCAGTATTCATTTATTGGATAGCTTCTGCTGGCTATGGTCCAGATTCTTCAACAGCTCCTGCTGAAGAGCAGAACCCTAAAAATCTAAAACTGTTGTCTTGCTTTGCTCATGCCAATTGGCAAGTAGGAGATTGGTGTCTTGTCCCCCCAAATGTTCTAAAATCATCCTCCATTACTACAGACACTGAATTATCCAATTCAGGACTCTGTGATTCGGTGAAAGATAAATTGGTTTCTAGTCAACTAGGAAAAGATTGTGAGGGTGAAGAGGTTCGGTTAGAGGAATTGGATGAGAATAAGGAAGCCATGAGCATTGATGCAGAGGTGCCTCCTACTGGCGATAGTGCAGCTAAAACTGGAACTAACAAAGAGTTTCAGGAATCAAACTCCTGCAGTAATTCTGCATCTGTTTCAAAGGAGCCAGTGCATGAAACTTGGCCACTTCACCGCAAGAAGATACGTAAGGTTGTTGTCAGGAGGGAAAAGAAGCATCGATTGAAGGAAGAGAAGTTCGAAAGAGCATTTCTTATTTTCAATACAAGGACAAGTGTTGATGTTGCTTGGCAGGATGGAAGTTTGGAGCGTGGAATGGATTCCACCAAATTAATTCCTATCGATAGTCCTGGCGATCATGAATTTCTCTCTGAACAGTATGTAGTGGAGAAGGCATCTGATGATACTGAAGATAATAATTCTTCTGAAGTAAGGCGAGTTGGAGTGGTGAAGAGTGTTAATGCGAAGGAACGAACAGCACTTGTGAGGTGGTTAAAACCAGTTGTTAGGGCTGAAGATCCTCGTGAGTTTGATAAGGAGGAAATCGTGAGTGTTTACGAGCTCGAGGGGCATGGTGATTATGATTATTCTTATGGAGATGTTGTTGTGAGATTGTCTCCAGTTTCTACTCAAACTATCTTTGATCGGCAACCCTCCTCTCACAAGCCAAAGCAGCAAAATTTGACGGATGATGATGCTTCGAATCCCGCAGAAGATGAAGAGAAATCAGAGTTGGTGATACCTGGGGAGGAAGCTAGTAGCATGGACTGCTACTCAGATCTCTCTTGGGTTGGGAATATAACTGGTCTTCACAATGGAGATATTGAGGTGACATGGGCTGATGGAATGGTCTCTACGGTAAGCTTGCCACCTTCTTGATCTGCTTAATATGTCTTTCTCTTTTTTTCTGGTGCTTGTTAATTAACCCATCGTTTTATCATTAGGTTGGACCTCAAGCTGTTTTTGTGGTTGGCCGTGATGATGATGATGAGTCTGTTGCTGTTGGTAGTGAAGTGAGTGATGATGGTGCTAGTTGGGAAACAGTTAATGATGATGAAGATGATGACGAGATGGATGCCCTTGAGAATTTTGAAGAGGTTCCTTCTGTTTCCCAGCACTGCTGTTATTGATAGTTAACAAGTGTGGATTAATTTAAGCTTAACTTAAATGGCTCATATTGATAATGTAACCTGTAATTGCTAGGGCATTATTGTCCTTGACTAAGTGAGCCGACCTTTTTTGTTTCAGGAAGAACGGTTGCAAAATGCAACCAACATAAACTCTGATGTGGAGGAGAACGTGGAGAATAGCAATGCTGTGAGAAGTCCAGCAGTTTCACTGTCCTTGGCAGCATTTGGATTTGTTACGAGATTGGCTACTGGAATATTTTCACGTGGGCGGAAAAGTTCTGATTCAGAGCTACTGGAGAACAGAAACGAATCTGAATCTCAGGGATTGATCTCCATTGCTGAAGATAGAAATTCCAGTGACACTTCTGGCTCTGTGAAGTCTAATGTCATTGATCCTAAAAGTCCGCATGGGGAAGAAGAAGTAAATGGGGTCATGGAAGTTGCTGCACCACCACAACCTTTTGGCGATACGAAGGTTGAGAACACGAATACGTCATTAAGACATGTTGAGGAGGATGCAAGCAAGTTCAAACGGTTTGACACGGCAAAAGATCCTTCTGACCATTATTACGTGGGATCAGTTGGACAGGTATAACCATGGGTACATATAGTAATCCATACGTTGAATGGTGTCCTAAGTAAGCACCAAAATATGATATATGTGGTTAAAAACGGTTTATAATGCAGTTAATGAGGTTTGTTTTACAAACTTGCAGTCTAGCAATAGCCGGAAATGGTTAAAGAAGGTACAGCAAGATTGGAACATTCTTCAGAACAACCTTCCAGGTAAGCTTTTGTGTTAGGTTCATGATTGCATAAATCAACTATGTCCTAATCTTGCTTTAAAACTTTTGTGACAGATACTATTTTTGTACGAGTATATGAAGATCGAATGGATCTTTTGAGGGCAGTAATAGTTGGTGCATATGGAACCCCTTACCAAGACGGGTTGTTCTTTTTCGATTTCCACCTTCCACCAGAGTACCCTGATGTTCCACCGGTATAAAAAGCTCACTTTTTCTTTTATACCCTCTTCTCGATTTCAATAGACCAACCTGTGTTTGTATAGTGATGGATTGATAAATGTCTTGTGTTCGGTCGTGCAGTCAGCATACTATCATTCTGGTGGTTTGAGAATAAACCCAAATCTTTATGAAGAGGGCAAGGTGTGCCTTAGTCTTTTGAATACTTGGACTGGCAGAGGAAATGAAGTTTGGGATCCGAATTCTTCTAGTATCTTGCAAGTCCTCGTTTCGCTTCAAGGGCTGGTGTTGAATTCTCGGCCTTATTTCAATGAAGCTGGATATGACAAGCAAGTTGGAACTGCTGAAGGAGAAAAGAATTCACTTTCCTACAACGAGAACACGTTCTTACTGAACTGCAAATCCATGATGTATCTTATCCGAAGGCCTCCAAAGGTAACAATTGCCTAGACCATTTTTGTGGCATTGGTCTTTGATTTGATTTATATTATGGTTCCTGATTCTACTGCAACAATGCTCCAATTTCAGGATTTTGAGGAGCTTGTGAAGCTGCATTTCAGGAATCGTGGTCAGTACATTCTCAAGGCATGTGATGCATACATGAAAGGGAGTCTGATTGGGTCTCTTAAGATGGATGCATCTATAAGCCACGACGCCAGTTCCAATTCGAGCTCAGTTGGTTTCAAGATAATGCTTACTAAGATTGTCCCCAGACTATATTCATCACTAAGCGAAATTGGAGCTGATTGTGAAGAGTACAAGCATTTGCTGCAGTTATAGCAGGCTGCTAGGAGCATGATCTGATTTACTTGTCGTCGATCTTCCTTCCAACATTTGTGGATACCGAAGTCAAAACGAAAAAGAGGGGAGAAGGGTTTTCTTTGTCTCTGAACTCAATGGCTGTGCTTTCAAAACGGCCGATAACTTGTAAATTCAGATTGGCTTTTCTGGATGAAAAAGCCTCTGATAGTTTTAGCTTTAACTGTGTTTCTTCTTTGTCATCTAACATGACTGGATAGGAACATTTCTATTTTATATATTTTGTTTCATTCCTTCTCTATTCGAATTGGGAATATTGCTGCTTGACTGCATAGTTTGAAGTCTCTTCTCTGGGATCTTGAAGACTAAAAGGACTTTGGGTTCTTTGTTATGGTATTGTAGTTGAAGGGAAAAGTATTCCCTCGCCACTTGAAATGTAATCTAGGGATCTAGGAAATGAGAGTCAGGAACAAGTTCTTCCTTTGTACCATTACTGCTGTATTCATAGAAAAGGCTCAAAATGATAGTAATAGTGTCTTCCCTTTGCTAATAACCAATTCATGGCAACAAAGAACTTTCTGGAAATTTCGTCAACTGGAAATTCGACAGATTTGCTTATCTAGAAACCATGAAGGCAGAAGCTAAGCCCTTTGCCGCAGAGCACCACAGACTGGGAACAGAACCCGCAGAATGGAAATGCAATGTGTTACATACTCTAGAGAGATTTCTGCAGGTTTTCGGGGTTTTCCCGGCTAGCATTTTTAAGACGAGTGAAAATACAGAGGCTAAAACGACTAAAGAACAGTTGCAGTTCTACAGATGATAGGGCAAATACGACTGATCCCAGAAGGCGATAACAATGCGCCCATAGTAGACTCATATGGAATGAACAGACAGTGTACAAGTCCATAAACTTCTAGTCTGGGTGCTGCGTACTCGCAGAAGGCATGATGCTCATGTAAATAGCATATGATCTCCAGTTATCAAACAATACCGGCAGCTTCCTTGATATCAGAAGTAGGCAACTTTAGTGCATTGCCAATCATAAACGCTTCAAATTTACATAATGAACCATGATCATCACCAACTGTGTGATTCGGGATCATCTAACCAATCGCTCTGCTGACTGCAAGAAACCACCCATTTGCATCCATCCATTCTGCGAACCAAACCTAAGCCTAGTTCAATAAGTATACATAGGCTTATGCTTGTAGCAGACAATTCTAGTTCTAGGACCCAATCACTCTTCGAAAATCCTGAATACTACAAAATGTGAACCCGGCAAATCAAGATGCATTCAGTTCAGCACATCGATCAATACTTAAAACTTCAAAGAACAACCTATATATTCATGTACTATGTCTGTTCATGAACTCCTAGGGGAGGAAGGCAAATCAATTAGATCATATAACAAGAACAAAGCAGCAAGGATTAAAGACGGAAAGCTAGAATCTTTCACTATTATCCTGCACAACAAAGTATGCACAGCAAAACCACATATGGATAATTGCTACTGTCGCAAATTCTGAAACCACTACTCAAAGAACCATAATCAATAATTCCCCTTTCATCTCCTGTGTTCTAAAAAGCTACCCAAAATCACTCAGAAGCAAAACGAATTGAATATAATAGAAAAGAAGTACAATTTGAAGCTCATACAGTACTGTTCTTGATCATTCCTCTCCTGGCCAAAGCCCTCGCAACGGGAGGCGTCAGCGCGAGTGTAATCGGGACCCGAATCGGGAACAGCGCCTTGTTGAACAGCAAAGCCAGAGCGAGCGCGCCCCCGCTCGAAGCAGCGAGCTCTGCCACCCGACTCCTCCCTTTCCTCTCCTCCTCGCCAGTCACCACCACCGTCGTCGATTCCGCCGGCGCCCGATGCGACTCCGATTCGATCCCGCCGCCGCTGGGCCGAGGAGCTTGCTGCTCCTGGATTTGCTCGGCGGTGGGGGATTCTTTGCTCGACAGCCCCGGGAGATGGAGCTTGTCGAAGACCGACTCGACGTCGACGTTGTTCCTGACGGCGACGTAGAGCCCCGTGATGGAAGCGGCGGAGACGGAGAAGTGAACCCCTAGTGCTACTTTCCCGTACTTCTTCAGTAGCTCTCTGAATCGACCGCCCGCCATGGAATTCCCCTTTCCCGTCTGCTTGGGAAGAGAGAATCGAATGAAAGCAAGGGTTTTTGGTAGGACTTTTCACTCCGAGCAAATGTAATTGTAGTCGAAATTGGAGAAACGTTTATAAAAAGTACAGTTGAGAAACGTTTTCCGATTCCGGCAAAGAAAGTAAGAAAGGTGCGAACTTGGACGAAGGGTCAAGAAAACTCCTTAAACGACGGCGTCTTGGCGAAGCTGCACAAGTTCCCCTGTGATATTCGACCCATCCACACTTCCGCAGTCCAATTTCAGAGAGTTGCAGACTTTCATCAGCAAAGAAAACAACTTATAGTCAACTTGAAGATGAATGGATGATGGAATGAGCATCCAAGGCCTTCCAGGCATTAGGTGCCATGAATCCAAATCCGCTAGACCTCAAGCTATCAGCTGATTCCAACACCAAGCTTTTTATCCCCATCCTGCAGCAATTTTCCTTCATAAGATCATACAGAAATCCCAACAGAACTACCAGATTTTGAACTGTGGGGAACATTCTTCCATGCTTCAGATTTTCTTTAGTCTAGACGAACAATGAGGGTGGCTCAGGCCGCCGGCACGAACCAATCCCCCACACTATTCGGAGCAGTTTTCATGGCCGACGACCCGCTCACCGAGACTTCGGATCCAGGCTATACGCGTCGGTCTCGCAGAATGGGCTGGGCCTGCTCATAAGCCTGAGCTACAGCTTCTTAGATGGGCCTTACAACGGGGGCTCCATCAGTATACTAGGGAAGAATCCGGCCTTGTAGCCCGTCAGGGAACTGTCCGTCCTCGGCAGCACGAGACTTTTCAGGATGGCACGTGGCTACGCTGTGGTTAATACGGTGTCGCTTACTCCTGCCGGGAATGCCGTGGTTCATTACAACGTCACCGTATATACGTCGGCGGCCGTCGTTTCTAATTGATGAGTTTGTTGGGCCGACGCATATTTAGTACAATATGTGTAGTGTTATACCATGATAAGTCATCAACAAATTTAGAGGAAGAGGTTACATTACATATGATTTTTTTTTTGGTTGTGCTCTTTGAATAGCAAACAGTTCAAACTCCAACATGTAACAACGTGCTCACACTTAATGGAGGCCGTTGGATCGAATAGTGGACTCTTCACAATTGTTTGTGAAAGATTGAGTGCTCGATTCAATGACGTTCAGTTCTGTAATCGCATTCTGAAAAATGAACTGTAAGCATCATAATCGGATTGACCTTATTTATTATGACATGTAATTTTAGAAAAAAAACGTACGTGACAATTCACTATTATCGAAGAAAAGTCAATTATTGAGAGACAAATTTTGCAGCGGGGAGCATGGAGGTTGCTGGATATGAGTGTGGCCTACAAAGTACAAACATAGGCGATACAGTCCAAGCAAAAGGACGATAACATAGGACCTACAAATTGACTACCATCAACAATGTGCACCAGCTACAGTCCACTAATCAACAAATTAAGGCTTCTTTGCTTTATATCATTCATTTACAAATTACAGGGAAGAGAACCATTTCAGCCTCCCAATCCCCCAACCCAACAAAACAAAAGCTTCATTCAACCATTTCCATGGCTGCCACGCCACTCTTTCTTATACTCCTCCTCTTCAGTTTCCCACCCGGTTCCCATTCCCAAACCCAAAACGCCACCGCATCACCACGACCACAGCTCACAGAAGCTACAATCGACACCATCCAACTGGCCTTCAAGCACAACACCCTCACTTCCAAGCAACTGGTTCAATTCTACATCGACCGGATCCACGAGCACAACGACCTCCTCCGAGCCGTCATAGAGGTGAACCCCAACGCTCTCTCTCTGGCCGAGATGGCAGACAGAGAGCGTCGGGCCAGGGTCCCCGGCTCAGGAGCCGGGCTACATGGCATCCCTGTCCTGCTCAAGGACAACATCGCAACTAAAGACAAGCTCAACACAACAGCCGGCTCATTCGCACTCCTTGGCTCGGTCGTCCCACGAGACGCCGGCGTGGCCAGGAAGTTGAGGGCTGCTGGCGCCATCATATTGGGGAAGGCTAGTCTGAGTGAATGGTCCAATTTCAGATCCAGCTCTGCCCCTAACGGGTTCTGTGGCAGAACCGGCATTGGAAAGGTAGAAATGAAACATAAAGTTCGTAACTTTGGAAGTAAAACTCGAGTTATTCGGATTAACTGACGCAGTTTTTTTTCCCCTCTCTCGTTGTTAGAATCCTTATGTTCTTTCAGCTGATCCATGTGGATCAAGCAGCGGGCCAGGGATATCAGTGGCAGCTAACTTGGTAACCGTGGCAATAGGTTCAGAAACTGATGGCTCCATCTTGTGTCCTTCAAGTGCTAACTCAGTGGTTGGAATCAAGCCAACAGTTGGTCTCACGAGCAGGGCAGGTGTCATACCAATCTCCCCTAGGCAGGACTCAATTGGGTACCAAATTTTTCACTATCCTTTCCTTCCATCTTAAAGTCAAATTACTTTGTTCTCATTTCCCCTAAAACTGTCTGTCAACTGCAGGCCAATGTGTAGGACAGTAGCAGATGCGGTCTACGTTCTCGACGCGATTGCAGGGTTCGATTCCAACGACGACCTTGCAACGAGAGCCGCCGCGAGGTACATCCCTCGCGGCGGCTACAAGCAGTTTCTCAAGCCGGACGGCCTGAGAGGGAAGCGACTAGGAGTGGTCAGGAATCCATTCTTCCAGTTTGGTGGTGATGAGGCTGTGGCAGCTGTATTTCAGAACCATCTCAAGACTCTAAGGTACCCAAAAAAGAAAAATCAAACATGTGGTAACATAAACTAATGAACATTGTTTATGTAATGTTTGTTGTAACATTTTCAGAAAGGAAGGTGCGGTTCTTGTAGACCCTGTGGAGATAAGCAACATCACAGAGATATTGAGCTCCTCTTATGAAATGGATGCACTACTGGCGGAGTTCAAACCAGCCTTGAACTCGTACCTAAAACACTTGGTGTCATCCAAGGTTCGAACCCTAGCAGATGTCATTGCCTTCAACAACAAGTTCCCCAAACTAGTAAGCCTCATTCCTTCAGTTCACCCAATTCAATTCACATCCGCACACATTTCTCATCGTTAAAGTGACTCGGCATTTTTGTTTGTTTGTTTGGGGCAGGAGAAGACCAAAGAATATGGGCAAGACATCCTGGAGACGTCGCAAAGGTTGAACGAGACGAATCGGAAGGCGGTGAGAGAAGCATTGTCCAAACTGAAGCAATTTTCTGAGAATGGGATTGAGAAGGTGATGAAGGAGCAGAAACTGGACGCCTTGGTGGCGGGCAGTTCGAGTTTCAGCGTGGTTCTGGCCATTGGAGGGTATCCAGGGATGAGTGTCCCAGCTGGTTATGACAGGGGAGGAGTGCCCTTCGGGATTTTCTTTGGTGGGCTCATGGGCTCGGAGCCCAAACTTATTGAAATCGGGTATGGGTTCGAGCAAGCTACAAAGGTTAGGAAGCCACCTTCTTTCAAACCTTGAGCACAGAGGCGTTTCCCATAACTTGGCCCAGGCCCAACTCTCTTTATTACCTCTTGACATTTAGTTGCAATGATCGGAAATTTTATTCCATGAATGATACAAATTATTTTTTTACTCGAATAGAAGAGCTCTTATTAGTTGACTAAATAAAAGAAGACCGTAATACTTAATACTATCCACTCAAACCAAGCTCCATTGACCTTTCCATTTTATATAGCTTTTATTTTCGTTTTGTAATATACAATGACTTCAACTTTCCAAGAGTCCTTTATCATTAGAGATATTAATTTCGAATCGACTCTTTTTATTCGACATGTTTGACTTCTTAAGGTTGATAATATATGCTCGTATTCGAGCAGCGGAGTACTCTCCTTGATTTGACATGCATCATTCGGAGACTGTTTTTGTCTAAATAATATGTATATTTACTAAAATTACCTAAAGTTGGACTTATATTACCTCATATTTTTAGCGACAATAAAGTTGAACGTATGCACGAGAACCTCAACTTCTCGAGCAATTTATCCCATGTCTATGTGGTTCGTCCCGTCCCATCCTGCACTCTATGATAAGTCATCCGATTTCAACTCAACATGTCACGAAACGGATATGGATAACGAGATATCCACCCCTCATACGATGAAATATTCCAATTTGTACTTTTCCGTCCGAAATGAAATATAACCCATAAATGAGTTTACCAAATGTGGCAGTGGCATTAAAGAAAAACCCATCCTGGTCGTACATTACAATTATGGACCTTTCATATAGGCCACGACCCAAAAAGAAACAGTGCTTTAGATAACACAAGTGGTCGAGTGGTGGACTTAGTAAAGGTTAACCACTAATCCTCCCTATAAATCGCGTAAGTGAATCCTTTCCTGCTTACTCCCTCCCCACCTTAATCCATATTAGCCTTGAGCTAAATCTCTGCCTCCCTCCCAAAAAAAAAATGGCAAGACTATTTTTAGCCATCCTAATAATTTCCATGGCGGCTACAACCCCACCAGCCCAAGCCCAAGCCCCAACCAACTGGGCCAAAAGGCTGAACCCCGGCGGCGGGCCCGAATCCATCACCAACCTCCAGTTCTACTTCCACGACATCCCGAGCGGGCAGAACCCGAGCGCGGTCCAGATCGTCAAGCCGGCGACAGCCGGCACGTCCAACAACAGCTTCTTCGGCATGGTCATGATGACCGACGACGCGCTGACCGTGGCCGCCGACGCGGGCTCCAAGCTCGTGGGCCGGGCCCAGGGGATGTACACCTTCGCCAGCCAGAGTGACCTCACAGTGCTGATGGCCATGAGCTTCGGGTTCACGGATGGGCCTTACAACGGCAGCTCCCTCGTCATCGTGGGCCGGAACCCGATCCTGGAGACGGACCGGGAGCTGCCCGTTCTGGGCGGCACGGGCCGGTTCAGGATGGCACGTGGCTACGCGCTTGTGAAAACGGTGTCGGCTGATGCCAAGGGAAATGTTGTTGTGTACTACAATGTTACGGTTCATGCTCCGGCTTTCGGTGACGATGAATAATACTCCTGGTTTTTGTGGTGGCTATTGTGTGAACTTTTTCGTCTTTTTATGTTATTTAAGTAGTAGTACTAATAAGCATCGTGTATTGTAGATTTTGAGTTAGCTGAGTTCAATCTTTGACAATTGTCACTTTTGCGTTACTTTTTTGATGGCTGCCGACAAAATTAAAAGTCTGAATCTAACTAAACACAGGTATTGTCGAGTAGCTACAAAGAAAATTATAAACATTGAAAGTCTAGTAGTTGTCCATCTAATGGATAATTTGTGTACTAAATACTAATACCCAATTGGAGTTCCATGTTATGATGTTAAGCACTAAGCAGAGTGTCCCACTCTCAGCTGGGTATGACAGCGGAGGAATGGCCTTCGGGATTTTCTTTGGTGGGCTATTGGGCTCAGGCCCACGATTATCGGAATTGGGTATGGGTTCGAGCAAACTACTAAGGTCCGGAAGCCATCTTCATTCAAAACATTGAGAACAAAGGTTAGCCATAACTTATGCCATGCCCAACTCTCTTTATTACCTCTTGACATTTAGTTGCAATAATTGGATAGAATATCAAAATCATATTCATATTCGTTCGGATTTTCGGGTATCCACGTTTAACCATGAGTTATAATTTATCTTCATAAGTTAAACCAATATGTTAACAAACATTACTAAAGAATTAAAACAATCAATTACTAAAAGGAGGAAAATTATTTAAACACTATATAATTTCATAAATATATTTTATATGTATGATAAATATCAAATATGTTGAGAAATATAATTATTATTATTAAACAAAATACATATGTATGTATATAATCGGGCCTGCTAGGATTAGATAATGAAAAAACCATGTCCACTCATCACCTGCAATATTCGAGTTTAGGTTTTACCCATACCTATTAAAAAAATCGAATTCGGATTTTATCGAATTCGGACAGGTATCTTAATATATGCATTCCCAGCCGGCTACCTTTTTTTTTTCTTTTATAACCGGCCTGTATCAGCCGGCTACCTTCACCTTTCTATTTTCCTTAAATTTTATTTCCTTTTTTGTCATTTATGATAACTTAAGAATCACTAATGACTAAAGATAATAATTTTGATCTAGACTTATTTTATTTGACATATTTGAATTTTTGGGCCATGAATAATATCCTTCTTGCAGGTAGAAACGATTATTATTCTTAACTTGATACGTCCCATTTAGACTCTTTTTTTCTTTCTAAATTACTTATAACTTATATATTTTTTTTACCTCATATTTTAGTAATAGTAAAATTATAGACAGACATGAGTCTCAACTCCTCAAAAAATTGTACTATACTTATTATATTATAATAATATATATTTGGAATAACATTTCCATGCATATCAAATTAATTACCCCCAACATACACCCTACAAAAAATTACCCAATCTGAACCGACCTACCATCAAACAAGTATGAGTATCGTGATATCCTCCCGAACCCCTACCCGTGAGTCATATGCTATAAAAAAAAATATACCAAATACTAAAAATGAGCTTACCGAATGTGGCATTAAAGAAAACCCAACCTGGCAGTAGAATACAATTATGGTGCTGTAGACAAACAGAAGTGGTCGAGGTTAAGAACTAAAATGTTGACCACTGAAGACTGAACCTCCCTATAAATCTCCTAACTCAATCCTGCCTTTCCTCCCACCTTAAATCCAATATATTTGCCTACCCTCTTTTTTTTTCCCACAACAATGTCGAGACTAATAGGTATGCCAAGACTAATTTTAGCCATCCTGGTCATTTCCATGGCGGTGGTTTCAACCCCATCAGCCCAAGCCCAACCATCAACCAACTGGGCCAAAACCCTCAACCCCGGCGGCGGGCCCGAATCCACCACCAACCTCCAGTTCTACTTCCACGACATCCCCAGCGGGAAAAACCCGAGCGCGGTCCAGATCGTCAAACCAGCCTCCGCCGGCACATCCACCAACAGCTTCTTCGGCATGGTGATGATGACCGACGACGCGCTGACCGTGGCAGTCGACGCGGGCTCCAAGCTCGTGGGCCGGGCCCAGGGGATGTATACCTTTGACAGCCAGACTGACCTCACGCTGCTGATGGCCATGAGCTTCGGGTTCACGGACGGGCCTTACAACGGCAGCTCCCTCGTCGTCGTGGGCCGGAACCCGATCCTGGAGATGGACCGGGAGCTGCCCGTTTTGGGCGGAACGGGCCGGTTCAGGATGGCACGTGGCTACGCTCTTGTGAAAACGGTGTCGGCGGATGCCAATGGAAATGTAGTTGTGTACTACAACGTTACGGTTCATGCCCCGGTCGGTGAGCAAGCGATGCCGGCCGGCTCTCCAACTGCGGCCGCTAACGCGTTGAATTCTTCTTCTTCTTCTCCGGTGATAATACGGGGGAACCGGCGGTGGATGGTTAGCGTTGTTGTTGCTTTTGCGGCATTCAAACTATGTTTTGCTGTGTAACTAGCTAGTTTTGTGCTCGAGGATATAGTCGTCGTTCATTTGCATGTGTTGCATAAAGTATCTGTATGGAAATTTGATTCAACCGGACTAACCAGACCGGTTTGAACAAATGTTATCGCATGTTGCATGGCAAAGCTTTGGCATGGCAGTTAGCCAGGAAAGCAATTAATGTTTCATTATTTCAAATTAATGGCATGAAAGCAACGTGTTGTTATTTTTAAGTTAGATGGACAAAACTATCATGAATTTGAAATTGGACAACTTATACGTCCATGGTTTGATATGGTAGTTTTTCCTTGGCTTTGAAATGAAGGAACATTCACGTCCCTTGGCTACATGGAACCTCCTCCTTATCACCACCTGGACGTTCAGTTTTATTTGGTAGAAAGAAGATGTAACTTGGCCAAATGGGAAAAGACATTTCTTCTCCAAATAATTGTACGTGTGTTGCAAATTAACCGGATACCATGAAACTATACAATGTTTCAGAAGTTGGGCGGTTAGAAGTGAACCGAGGTGATGCTTGGCACTGTCCCCTATAAAGAGATGGAATCGGCTGGTGGAAGGAGACACCAAAAACAAATTCTTCTTTCTACTAAACTTCTAAGCATGCTTTATGTACTTAACCCTGGAACCTAAAGTGGTGATAGTTTTATCCTACGAAGAAATTTCCTGTAACCATAGACTTGTAGAGGGTGGAAATATTCTTTACGGAAAGTGAACGTAGTTCACGACTCTATCATAATCCTAGTCACCTGATCTCGGACTACCATACGTGCGTGTACCCTCGTCCCTAAAAGTCCCAACAGTACTATCTTTGTATTTTGGTTTAATATATGATGGTTTTATACTTTATACTAAAAAGAGACATGTGAATATATGATGTTGTTGAAAGTGTAGCAGTATTCTATCTAATGAATCATTTGTGTGACAATCAAATCAGAGTATATACCTGTTGATCACATGAAACCTTACCACTTTTGCTGTTAATGATAGAACATTTTCTTCGTGTATAGTATGACCTATGAATAGTTCAAGTTGACCTTTTGGTTCGGTTGTGGATTGAATTTGATATTATCTTCCTCGAGTCATTACTTATGAATTGTACGTCCGTCCAATTACTGTTATCCTCGATAATCCAAGGGTCATGGAATTGACTGCTATTGTTTAGTCAATGTGAGTGTCCATAATTTGTTTCCTGGTGACATATGTTTTACCCTAGTTAACATTGTCAATAACATGATTGATTATGCATAATTTATGTGTAGGGAGCCAAAATTTATTAAATAATTATATTTGTATCTCATTTTCATGTGATTGCCTCTTGTGATCCTGTAACTGATCAATTGGAGGGGTACCCAGGGCCCAGGGGCCAGGGATGAGTGTCCCAGCTGGGTATGATAGCGGAGAGGCCTTCGGGATTTTCTTTGATGGACTCATGGGCTCAGAGCCCAAGTAGATCGCAATCGGGTATAGGTTCGAGCAAGATACTAAGGTGCAGAAGGCATCTTCTCTCAAACCTTCAGAAGAATGGCTTTTCCATAACTCGGCCCAGGCCCAACTCTCTTTATTACCTCCTCACATTTAGTTGCAATAATCGGAAATTTATTCCAGATTAAAATAATTTTTTATTAGAATATAAGAGCTCTAATTAGTTGACTAAAAAACAAAACCTAATACTCAATACTATGCATTGAATGCATTCCAGTGCGCGGCGGCTTAGCTCTACGGTTATGCATAATTAAATTTGGGTTCTTAGTTTTGACTTTTGAGTGAGACGAGAACAAGTTTAAAAGTTGAGAATCAATATTATTTTTTTGTTTTTTTCTAGTTTTTTAATTAATTTTTTTCCTTTATTTTAATTTAGATTTGAATTTTTTTCACAGATAAAATGAGTTTGTTGTGCTCTACAAATGAGATTCATTTTCAATATATTTCAACAAAGAAAATTTCATACCACTTGTTACCATATTGGTACAATCTTCGTTTTGAATTTTGAGATTTTTAGTACATGTGGAACGAGTTCATCGTGATTTATTTGAAATGATTGATTTTTTCCCTCCTCGCAGGCGGAGGAACTAATAAGTCTTTTCTAGGCCTGTATTTTTCTAAATTATATATTTTACTTTTTTTTTACCTCATATATTTGCAATAATAAAGTTGTAAATAGATGAGTCTCAAACTTCTCAAATAATTTAACTATTTTTTTTATCATATTGAAATTTATTTATTAAAAAACATATCCATGTAGATCAACTTACCGATGATAAAATTACCCGACCTGTATCGACTTGCCATAAAACATATATAAGCATCGAGATAACCATCCAACCTACGGGTTTCCCATTCCTACCCATGAGTCATATGATGGAAATATAACAGAAATGAGTTTACCAAATGTGGCATTAAAGAAAAGCCCAACTTGGTTGTAGAATACACTTATGGTGCTTTAGATAACACGTACAAGTGGTCACGTGGTGGACGTAAAGAACTAAAACGTTAACCACTAATCCTCCCTATAAATCTCCTAAAGTCAATCCTGCCTCCTTCCTCCCACACCTTAATCCCATATTAGCCTAAATCTCTCCCTCCCTCCTTTTCCCAAAATGTCAAGACTAATACGTCTGGCCATCCTCCTGGTCACCATTTCCATTGCGGTTCCAACCCCATCCGCCCAAGCCCAACGACCCTCGGCCAGCTGGGCCAAACGGCTCGACTCGGGAACCGGCCCGGACACCGTAACCAACCTCCAGTTCTACTTCCACGACATCCCCAGCGGCACCAACCCGACCGCCGTCGAGGTCGTCCAGCCCGTGGCCACCGCGTCCGACTCCAACCCTTTCTTCGGGTCCGTAGTGCTGGTCGACGACCCGTTGACCGAGACCGCCGACGTGGGCTCGAAGCTCGTGGGCCGGGCCCAAGGGATGTACACCGCCTCGAGCCGGAACGAGGCCGCGATCTTCATGTCCATGAGCTTCGGGTTCGTCGACGGGCCATACGACGGCAGCTCATTGAGCGTCATGGGCAACAACTTGTACGGGAACCCGACCCGGGAGGTTCCCGTTTCAGGGGGCACGGGGATTTTCAGGATGGCGCGTGGGTATGCGGTGCTGAGGTCGGTCGCGGTTAACTCCACTAGCGGATATGTTGTTGTGAATTATAACGTTACGGTGTATACTCCGGCGGCTGCCGGTGCATATTGACAAGTCTAGTAAGTCGGCTGCTGCGACTCCGGCGATTGACTAACGCGTTGAGTTTCTTCTACTTCTTCCCCGACGATGATAGGCTGCGATTGTAGCTGCCGCATTCCTTTAATTTGGTTTGTTACTCACTTTATGAGGGATTGTGTTTTTAAGTGGTTAGTTTTCGAGATTTGGAACTAATATGGGATGGATGTTATCGTTTCTATATTATTTTATCAAGTGGAATGTTTCCTACTTTTTTTCCCCCAGCAACAATGAGAAAAACGTCATCGTATATCTAGTCTAGATAATAAATAAAAGCCGAATGATGAAAACTGTTGCTCCATTTCAAACTTCCTGCAACGAGAGTGATTATAGGAAGGACATTTTGGTCTTCACAATTACTTATTTTCTTATTTATTTATTCATAAAAAATGCATGCACTGGGATTCGAACCTTGGTCTCTTTAAAGACAAGCAAGGACCATAACCAATCACACCAAGTATATTTGTTGTATCTATTTAAATTCAAACATACACGAACCTAAATTATGAAAATCATATGACTTTTTTAACGATTAGTTGGCCACTGAATCTCCCGTAAGTACTTATTTGGTGTTTTAATACTTTGATTATTTTAGTTGTGGTTTAATACTTAATTTAAATTTCTATCTATTTTATAAATATATGATAACCCTAAAATTGCAGCCCAAATATCACTGGTTCGAATATTGCATATCGAATTGCAATATTAAACATGTAGAAGCAATATCAACTTCTTAAATTAGTATTATTTTTCAGAATTACTATGGAGAAATTATATCTTTGTGCAAACTATATGAGACTGGTTCTTTTAATGTTTTAGTCGGGATAACCGCTACATTTTAAACTTCTTCATAATCTGGCATGATTGGATCCAATGATCATTATACAAGATTGTGTTTAATAGGGTGGCTTATTTCACCACTTTTTGGCGTGTTAATGAATTTGTAGGACAATGACAGGTCTACATCTACACTCATCACAATCTACACATCATATAAATGTGAAATGTGAAATGAGAAAAGAGGGATTCCATTTCAAATTTGATGCGTACAGAGCAATTTTTTAGGGGTAAGTTTAGAAGATGCCAGTGCGGTCGGTCTGTTGAGCACGAAAGTAAAAATATATTTTCATTTAAACGGGCCCAAACTGTTATTTGGCCCACTAATCGTGCACTCATCGCCAATGCAGTCAAATTCGGGATTTTGATCGTAAAATCGTAGGATTTTAGGATTTTACTTAGGGATTCCGATCTTGATTTTACTATAAAATCGGTGGACCTTAAAATCGTTTAAAATCGGGACTAAAATCGTTAAAATCGTAAAATAGTATCGAAATCGGGATTTTGATCGTAAGAGAACAAAATAGGTGGTTTGAGCCAATTTAAAATAAGTATAACTGTTTCAGCGGAAAGGGCAATGGAATCTTCTCAGATATTTTTTCTATTAGAAAAATATTCAAAAATAATAAAAATAACCAAATTAGGGTTCGGTTAATCTCTTTCCCTTCACCCCATTTAACTTATTGGTAAAACACCTGTCCTAATATTGGAAGTATGTAAGAACTAACATCATTATTAACTAATTAATTTATTAATGAATATATTTGTACCAAGCCACTAACATTACTTATTTTATTGGAGTTCAATTATTTTTAGTTTTAAATCATACTTAGTAGACGATGTCAAAATATTACTTTGAGTTAAACAACCTAGACATAACATGAAAATAAGAGCCAAACCCATGAACTATATCCCTTCATCATGAATTATTTTGAG